AGGGTTTCGCCGCTTGGTGGAGATCACACGGGGCCGTGTTGTTTATCTCAGGACAAAGTCATGTGACACCCACACGCCGTCCGTGGAGACTCTGCAGGCCCGAGCCGGCTCCGACAGAGTCGACGTCTCTGCTCGTGCTCCAATTCCAGCGGCGCCCGTCCATCCATCCGTCCACGCACCCCTCCCCGCCTCTCTGTGGCCCCTGCCTCACCCCTCCCTCACCCCTCCCTCACCCCTCCCCCGACCTCCTCCTCACCGTTGGGCTACGTTTTAAGGCTGGATTCCTGCCACCGACCCCCCCCCCCACCCCCCTCCTCCTCCTACGTGTCCATTAATGGGCGAGACAGAGAAACAGTTTCATATTTACTAAATCGGTAAATATATGAAATAAATAAATAAGAAACTGGCTTCTGAATCCAAAAGAAAGCAAATGAATTATTTCATCATTGAGAGCATTTTGAGTACTTTTCTGATGCTGTTTTGTATTTAGTAAGAAAAGAAATATCTCCGAGATGGAAGCGAGAGACTGAAATTGGGGGACAGCTGAAGTGTGTATGTGTGTGTGTGTGTGTGTGTGTGTGTGTGTGTGACGCGGCGGGGCTTTAACAGAGGTATGCGGCCACTCCCCGGCTACCCCTGGCTCTCTTAATGACTTCCAGACAATAGGCCGTGTTCCCGTCATCATCTCTGTGGAAACAGGTTAATAACTGACTGGTTTAGACCCCCCCCCCCCTCAACCCCTCCCGGTGTAGCCGGTGAGCCTGACTGGAAGTCGGCTTTAAGACGTAGATCCTCTCGTGGGAACCTTCTTCACCGCGTCTCTTGTCTGTTTCTGGCCAGAAGGAGGAGGCTCCTTCTTCAGGACGTTGGAGTCCAGTTGGATTCACAGAGTTTTCCGGGGTTTTTTTTGTCATTAAGTCGCCCAACGCGGGACCGTGACCTCTAAATGACAACGACTTTGGGCATATTTTCTGGAGGGGTGAGGGGGCCCCAGAAGGAGAAGGGACGTGACCTTAAGTTCATTTATCTGACTGTCGATCAGCGCGAGGAGGAAAAACTCCAAAATGTAAACTCTCCCGAGGCTGGATGCTGACGTAGATGTTTCCACAGGCCAGATGGAACTTTGAGGAGCCCTGCAGGGAAATGGCAGCGGCTACAATAACAGCATAAACTGGGTAATAAATAACAATACAACATGGTTAATGTTCAAACAAGACACAGCTGGTAAGTGGAACCCTACAAGACGGGAAGTGGAAATACGTGACGAAGAGCAAAAAGGGGCTTCATCGTGATGATAATATTCTGCCCTCATCTCCAAATATATAGACGGATGTTGATTGACACCAGATGCAGCGTAACGAATCACCTGTGAAGCAGGAGGTGATGGTCAGCGTGTGTTACAGACCTCAAGCGCATCAAATCAGGTGTAAATGAGCTCACAGCGAAACCAGGCGCAGCTAACTGCTAAAACATAAAAGCGGCATTTACCCACCTTGTGTTTTTTAAACTGCCTTCATTCGGAAGAGGCGGTTCCTCTGCTCTCACCTGCAATTACTTTTTTATCGCCCCGGTTCAGAGGCTGGGCGCGCTGGTCCAGGCCGCTCGGGTTCCAGCAGAGAAAGTGCAGGCTGCGTGAATGCATTTGAAGCACCGGTGTTTGGACTCTTTGGATCCCTCCGTCAGGAGGAAATGACAGGGCGGGAGTTCCTCGTCACTGACCGCTTCCCCCCGACGGACGGAGCCCGAGTGTCTTTAGAGCGGAAGCTCCTGGCTGCGGACGCTGCGTCTGCTCCTCTCATCTCCCGCCGCCGGACGTCGGAAGTGATGGACGGCAGCTCGGCGGCTTTTCCGTAACTCACGGTGTGCGGCGCGTCCAGCCCGAAAAGGGCCTCTCTCCGTGGACAGCGTGCGCGTGTCGCTGCCTTGTTTTTCTTCTTTGGAGATAAAGGTCGGGAACAAGTGTGTCTTTGAGGTGTAAAAAGGTCCCCGGAATCAAGCGAGAACCGAATCAGCAAAGAGAGCAACTTCTGCCCGCAAATGCTAAGCTAACCAGCCAAAAGATGGCACGTTTAATCAATGGCGCCCGATGAGTTTACTCTTAAACATCAGCTGTGTTTGCAGATCAGGAAATTGACGACTGAATCAAAAGATTCCGTCCAGCCCACCAAAGTAAATGAAAGCCGTCTTCTTCTTCTTTTCCTCTCACTAGTAAATGTTTAATCTCACAGTGTGCAGTACGAAGCCAACACAGCGGTGTGTGTGTGTGTGTGTGTCCCACCTCGTCACCCTCGTCACCCACCCCCCCAGCAGTGAGTCGCCCCGTCCCGTCCCGTCCTCACCTCCCGCCCCTGCAAAGCCTCTTTCAAAGTGTCAGTGAAGAAGACGCCTCCGGCAGCTTAACAGCACGCAGCAGCACCTCAGGCCTCGACGACGCAGACGTCCAACAATGTGTCCGACCTCCGAGGGGCCGAGGGGCCGAGGGGCCGAGGGTGTCTTTAGTTTGAGTATGGAAGCACTGACTTATAGGATTCAGGCCGCGACACATTATAATGTGAACATTTTAAAAATGAAACATAAATGTCACTGTTTGAGTACAACAAAGCAAAACAAAGTTGGCGGTTAAAAAGAAATTCTCTTTTACGCCACACAGAAGCTTTGCTAAAGCTTTTTAGGACACATTTTTATTCATCTTCTCCTTTTTTGTGAAGGTAATTTCTTTTATTTTGAAAAGTTCAACTCATAATGTGACCAAATATGAGGCCACATCTATTATTGTTAAACATAGATGTCACCATTTGACGTGTTATACTTATATTAACAGTTCACAGAGTACAACAAAGCACAATAATACATCACTAATACAGTTTGTCACATTTGACAGATGTGTTTCTCTCTGCGTGGAAGCCACATCTGTCTATGATACATTTATATTCAACCTCTCATGTTTGTTGAGGCTCATTTCTTGCCAGAATCTGATTTGAGGCGCTGAGCGATCGAACTCTCTCCTCTCTGAAGCCTCTCCTCCACATTCCAGCTCCGTCTCGCTCATTTCGTTCGCCCCCCTCAGGGTGACGCACTCGGGGAGTGAAGGGATTTCTCGTTCCCGGACGGTGGCTCACGTTGCTGTCGCTCCGCTTTGCGCCCGTTACGAGTGTTCAGGGTTCGTACCGGCACCTTCGGCCCCGTTTCCAGACTAAACAGCTTTTACTTCGTGGGGGTCGGGGACAGACGATATATAAAGCGCCCGCTGCTAGCATGCTAACCGTTAACCCTCCCCCTGGGTCGAAAGGTCACGCAGCAAACAAAACATTCCAACCCGCTGTGTCTTCAGGTTGTGCAAATTAAAATGTGATATTCCCTCAATAATTGCAAACTAAACCGTGCTGAGGCCACCGTTACAGATTGTGTGAGCTGGAAACTGAAGACATTGTTGTGTGAGAGCGCACAAACTCAGATATCGGTCACTGTGCAGCAGCTGTTGTGTGTATTTACACAGGTTTTCATGGCTGGGGAGGACTTACATATCCACCCCTGCTACACACATAAATATTTGCAGCTAGCAGCAGTATTGACCTGTGTGACATCATTCACTGCTGCGCTTCCTGGCTGCGATACGACGCCATGTTCTGGATCAGCTGCTCCTCTGCTTATCGAGTAAGAAAAGGGAAGAATCGTGACCTCAAAGAATATTAAAAGGTTTGCGTATGAACTAACAGGAAGGATATATGCATAAATATCAACGGTACGCCCTGCTGATATTTGAACTAAAGGTGATAATCTTTAAAACAATAAATGCCTCCGTCGGCTGCGGTTCCAATCCGGCAGATATCAGTTGGTGTTGTTGGTGTGCGGCTTGTCCGCCGCGGCCGGGCTAAAGGTTTCAGTGCCAGTGTGTTCTGCCAGTAAAAAAAGAGGCCTGGAGATAGCTGAGAGTCTACAGGAACCTCGGCAGATATCACGTTTCCCCCCTCTGGCCCACCGCCGACGTCCGATGATCTCGGCACTTGAGCCGGGAAAGTCCCCCCCCCCCCCGACCCCTGCCCCGAAGCCAGACATTCTGCAAAATGTCTCCCTCCCTCCCGCTGGATAGCCAGCTGTTTCCACCTCACTACCCCCATTTCCCATCATGCAACATGCCACTGGTACCCTGTTCCCTCCTCACCTTCTCGCTGATAAAGGCTCCACCGGGCAGCAAGTTAAACGTGAAGGCAAAGCAGAGGGCTCCTAAAAGCTGCATTCTGTGTAGTGACCAGCAGGGGGCGACTCCTCTGCTCCCATAGACGTCTATGAGGAAATGACTCTACTTCTCTGTAGTGACCAGCAGGGGGCGACTCCTCTGCTCCCATAGACGTCTATGAGGAAATGACTCTACTTCTCTGTAGTGACCAGCAGGGGGCGACTCCTCTGCTCCCATAGACGTCTATGAGGAAATGACTCTACTTCTCTGTAGTGACCAGCAGGGGGCGACTCCTCTGCTCCCATAGACGTCTATGAGGAAATGACTCTACTTCTCTGTGGGTTTATTCCCTCAGTAAACATTGTAAACATGAGTTTATGGTTTCAATGTCTAGTTTCAAATATTTATTTATTACAATTAGCTCATTATTTCAGTCAATCATCCATTAAAGGTCCCTGTTTCAAATGTCGAGAACTGGCTCGATATCTTGTCTCAAGAGTCATAAAACTCTCTGAATCTCTCTGAAGCTATACATATATATATATACATATATATATATATATATATATATAAATATGTTATATATAGCTCAACGCAGGACTGATGCGTCGGCGGTGAAACGATGCTCTCGGCTCAAACAAGAAATCAGCCCGCTGTGTTTGATTTCACCGTGACGGGTTTCTCTGACGTGTGCCGAGCTGAGCCGAACCGAGCTTGTCAGTTGGTTTTGTATTTATCCCCCAAAGAAACAACCACCTGTTGGAGAATTGGTCCAAAAACCTGGAAAGGCGCTAAACGTCCTCTGTAACGCTGTGTGTTTCAGAGCATTGAGCGGGAGGAGCCGATAGAGGTGGACCCCACCCCGGGCCTCGACACAGGTAAGACGCCGTTAGTTTTAGGAGAAGGGGGTTCGGTGGTGTTCTTTTGGGTGGATTTGATTCTGTCAGAGCAGCCAAATGAGCTTATAAAAGCCGAAATGCAGAAACCGTAGTGTGGTCCTGGGATGATTCTCTGCGGGTTTGACCTCTTTTTAGGTTACACATACTCATGTTAGCACAAAACGCATCGTCAATATAACAATGCGTACGTCGTACAATCCAACCAGTACATTCGGAGGTGATGCTGGGAAAGATCTCCTCGCCCAACGACTTCCCACACCAGCACACGGCCCCCGTGGCCACGAGGATGCCCCACCTGCCCGTCACCGCGACAACCAAGACGGCAGAAACGAGGTGCCCCGACTCTCCCAGCAGCCCCGTTGGCTCTCGTTCCCCTCCGCCTGGCCAGGCATCGGCTGCCGGCCAATCGGCTGCCAGCACCAACCAGAGCCAACCAATAGAGGAGCCTCCAGTCCAGCCAGGTGAGTGTCCGAGACTCCCGCCTTCAATTAAGCTATTAGGCAGCTGCATCCATTGTGTGGTTAATGCAGGTGAGAGAATACTATTAGTTTTTCAGGTAATATGTAAGGTTTTGGTTTTTAATCATAATGTCCAACTTCAGACCACAAAAGTAATTTCCCAGTTTGATTTTCCCAGTCAACCACCGCCGTTGATGGTAAAGCACCGTTTCTACTGTAAGGCTTTAAGTTGATTGACACCTTCCAGGATTATTTCCTCACATCTTCCTGTTCACTTTTCCGTTGCGGCGTCAGTGCCGTCCACGTGGACTCCTACGCCAATCAGAGCTCTGGGTTCCCCCCGCCTCCAAGGTGAGCCATGGCCTGAGAGACCCCGTCTGAGACCGTGACCTTGCGGGAGCGAGTCGCTGACTGTTTCTTCCGGTTTTTTGCAGAGAAGGCTAAGTCGGTCCCGCCCAAGTCCGTGAGCTACTCGGGGCTTTCGCAGCATGACAGGTGAGTGGAAAGGTGACCCCCCCCCCCCCCCAACTCGTTGTTGTCTCTCTGCATGGAGGTAAGACAGCTTTCTGTGGACCCCGCCCCCCCCAGAGACGTCGACGTGAGCAGCGACGGGCCCTGCGGCCGTGCGACAGAGAGGAGGCGGGAGCTGGTGAGGTCGCAGACTCTGCCGCGCAGCATTGGCGCTCAGGCCCGCCGATCCATCTTCGCCAGGCTGGACTGCGAGGCCGGTGCCGGGTAAGTGTGACGCCGCGTTGCCGCGGTTACACAGAGGACAAGGTTCCCCCCTTGAACATTTTAAAGTCTGTCTCTCTCTCTCTTTCCTGGTCATGTGTGCAGGCGCCCCACACCGCTGGACTCCAAACCCACGCTGAAGAGGTCTCAGAGCTTCGGGGTGTCCAGCGCCAGCGGCATCAAACAGATCCTCCTCGAGTGGTGCCGCTCCAAGACCATCGGCTACCAGGTGAGCCCCCAAATCCAGACCTTCTCACACCATGTCGTCCAATGTGTTCTGCTCACTCGGAGGCATATTTTCCTAGAGAGAGAGAGAGAAAGAGAGAGATGTCCACTCCATGACTCGACATGTTGTATTCATTCAAATAAAACTCCAGACCAATAAAGCACAAAGCTTCTGTTTAATCCATCAGCATCGCAGGCTGGATGGTAAATGTGGAGACGTTGTCGGTGCAGTTTCACAGGCCGATGTTCTTTGACCTTCATCAACCTCTGTTTCCTCTGCAGAACATTGAAATTCAGAACTTCTCGTCCAGCTGGAGCGACGGGATGGCCTTCTGCGCCCTGGTGCACTCCTTCTTCCCCGCCGAGTTCGACTACAGCGCGCTGACGCCCGCCGGCCGCAAGCACAACTTTGAGCTGGCCTTCGGAACCGCAGAGTGAGTCAGGCCGATACCCGAGCAGGGAGAAGTGTCTCGTGTGAGGCGTGTGGGGCCTGGGAAGGGTTAGCATGGCGAGCCGGCGCCGGAGTCTCCTGACTTGTCCTCTTGTGGTTCTGCAGGGAGAAGGCCGGCTGCGACCGGCTCATCGAGGTGGAGGACATGATGATCATGGGTCGTAAACCGGACCCCATGTGCGTCTTCACCTACGTCCAGTCGCTCTACAACCACCTGCGCAAGTTCGAGTGAAGCCTTCCACCTCCTCTTCCATCTCCTCCGGATCAGACTTGGAGCGGGTTGGAGAAGGACCACGCTGCCCCCTGGTGGTGGACGCGCCTCAGGACACTGACTCGTGGAGATGATTCTGTTTGTGACGTGGAGCTGCGGTGGAGAAGAGGAGTTGACCACAACAGCCCGGCCTCGTTTGTCAACACTAGCTTTTCTTTTTTTTTTATATACGTTTAGTTCGAGATAAGACTGCAACCGTTGTATCCGTCTTTATCGCCACCGCACGCGTTTGGAAGTGTGTATTAACCTTTAATATTGCACCAAAGGAGAGGAAGAGTGTTTCACAAAGTATAAGTGAACAAAGTGAGTGCGAGTATCCCACCAGATATTATGTATAAATTGCTGACTGACAGTGGCGTCCACATATGCTGTGATATTGAGACAATGAGTTGAGAGATGTTAAAAAAATGAAATCAATAAATTGTTCAACGACACCTAAATGTGGACATCATGTTCCTTAAGAAGCATCAAAGAGGTGTCTGTCAAATAAATGTCACATCTGAAAACACCATATAAATGATATATATAAAATTAATGTGTACACAACAATATCTGGGAGTAAAAATATGTAAAACTGCTATACATATGATTAGGTATATTATAACAGTATTCATATTTATTTATGCTGTTTTCAAATATGTCCTTCAATTATAAAATATGAATAAATATATAATCGATAGATATATAAATAAGACATTAATAATATTTAATATTTTCTATAACATAATAAATTATAATATACAAATAATATTTGAAGTAATAAATTCCATTTGTTTGGTATAAATTGGGATATTGGAGGTTATGATAGAGATTAAAGGATATTCTCTATGCACAACTGTTCTCTTCAGATTTAAGAGAGATGGATGATAGTTTCACATCTGGTTTCACATCACAGATCTCATGCAGAGATGATTGAAGTTGATCAGAATCAGGTTATTATCTCACACCGCTGAGCTGTTTTGACTCCAGCGGATTAACTCTGACCTGCTTTGAAACTTTTGTGGAATTATTCGATGGCCATTAACTATAAACATGTAAATGATGACACAACAATATCTATATTTGTTGTTTGACATTTGTTTGTTGTTTTTTTTGAACACATTCGACTCTTAAGCACGAGCTCCTTAGATTCATTCAGTGTTTTGTCGATTCCATTATACAAAATTAAAATAATTTCCAAATTCTATGCACGGTGTCACATCAAGTTGCATCATTAATCAGTTAATCATTATCTAATTATGATCTATTTCTGGAACGCTGCAATAAACACATCGGTTAGATGGATCGAGCGCGACCCCCCCAACTCCCCCACAAGTGGTCGTAAACAGGCTGAGCGCGCGCGGCTTGAAAACAAGGTTCCCCCGCATCGTCCCGAGGGTGGTGCCGGTCTGTGAGGGTGGAGGGTGTCATCTGATCACATGGCGCTATAAGAAGCCGTCCCTCCTCCCCGCGGACCGGTCTCACGCTGGAGCCATGGACCTGTTCGTGGACCCGGACTTCTCCTCACTGAAGAACAGCCCGAGCAGAGACATGCTGCATTTAAACGCGATGTTAGAAGAAGAGCAGGACCACTGCAAAGGTGAGGACACCTTCAGATGTTCTGTTGATGACGTTACTTCATTTACTTCATTAAGGAAATAACTTCATTTACTTCATTAAGAAAATAACTTCAGTTACTTCATTAAGAAAATAACTTCATTTACTTCATTAAGGAAATAACTTCATTTACTTCATTAAGAAAATAACTTCATTTACGTCATTAAGAAAATAACTTCAGTTACTTCATTAAGGAAATAACTTAATTTACTTCATTAAGGAAATAACTTAATTTACTTCATTATGGAAATAACTTCAGTTACGTCATTAACTACATTACGTTATTTCATTAATCTCAGAGATTGCATCATCATCATTCAGAGCAAATCAAATAAAAAGGAAAATGATATATGAGCTTCGCAAAAATAGGAAATCGAGCCAAAGCTTTGTAGTTTATAAATGACTATTTTTTATTTGCACTCTTCATCAAAAATAATAAAATGTTCGTCATTTAATATTAATAAATATTTAATTTCATATTATATATGAATGAATGAATAAATGATTTTTTTCGTGTTATGACTCAATGTCAGGCGGCCGCAGTGAGCGCGCGCCGTCCTCCCCGGAGCCGGACCGACCCGCCGCCTTCGGCCCGATGGAGGGTCAGAGGAAGAGGAAGAGGACCATCTTCAGCCGCGCGCAGCTCACCGAGCTGGAGCAGGCCTTCGCCGTGACTCCCTACCCGGACATCACCCTGCGGGAGAGGCTGGCCGCGCACACACACCTGCCCGAGAGCAAGATACAGGTGAGTCTGCTGCTCAGGGCGAAATATATAGTTTAGTGGGAGGTTCGGGAGAACTTGAACCAGGACTACGAGGGGCTGACTATGTGACCCCGCTGCAGTAGAATGAGGGGTTTTCTGAAGGGACCCTGGTGTGAGGAAGCACTGCCATATTAGTCCACAGGGGGCGCCGGAATCAACACACGATGAAGACGAGAATAACGATGTCCTTTTGTTTTCCACAGGTGTGGTTCCAAAACAGAAGAGCCAGAAGTATCAAGACCGTGAGACTCCCAAAGTCCAGCCAGCCCGCCCTGGGAGGGAGAGGGGTCGTGGACCCCTCCACCGGGCAAGTGACCGCTGCTTTCCTTTCCTCAACCACCCTGGCGGACATCTTCAGACCGGAGCAGAACCACTCCTGCGAGGACGTCCCGCAAATCTACTCCGACTGGTTCCAGATCTACAGCAACCCCGTGTCCTCGCCGGCCTCCTCCTCATCTCTCCAGCCCACGCCGGGCTCCTCAAAGCCCTCGGAGCGTTATCTCTGGGAGGAGGAGCAGCACCACCACCACCAGCACCACCACCAGAACCTGGGACCAGCGCTCTCCGGGTTCCTTCCTGGTTCCTTCCCTCCGCCCGGCAGCAGGCCGCCTCACCACTCGGCCTCGGCCCGGTCCTACCAGGCCTTCAGGAACTTCAAACCCCAGAGCGCGCCTCCTTCCGGGCCCCATCAGGCTGCGTACGGAGGCGGCGCCGCAGGTGGAGGTCACACCTCTGTGGACCAGGTGGTTCCCTCCCACCCTCAGCCAGTGTACTGGGAGGTGGCCCAGGCCCAGGGGCACCATCACCACCCGCAAATGGGACCGCAGACCTCCATGGGCTACATCTCGGACCTGATCTACAACGCCGCCATCGTCACCAACTTCCTGGAGTTCTGATCGGCCCAGATGTGGAACTCATCGGTAATCACAGACTCCCCTCTCCCACATCAAACATCTGTCCTCCAGTGGTTCCTGGCTTCGTCGCTTCATGTGTTCCCGTTTGTGTTTTAGAAAATACGTCGTTTTGTGGCTCAGTTTTCACATCTGGTTTCAGTTTTTCAGTCATTTCAGCCGGAATAGAGACGAGGATTAATGGACCATTTGTAGACCTATTTAAACACAATTACTTATTTTTAAGAATCAACAAAAAACTATAAATATTAAAAAAATACACACATATAGAATTATTGTACAATTATTGTAACTTACGATTTTAAATGAAACTTAAACATTTTGTGTCTTGAATAGAAAGAAAACGTTGTGTTTGACTGAATATAAATACTTTTACCTTGTTCAAAAATAACAATTTGGAGCTAATGCAGCTAAAAATCAGACTTTAGACAACATTCAGTCTATGTTTCATTTACAGCAATATTACTGTTGTTTAGATGAGAACTGGCTGCATTGTTTTATTTTTCAAATGATGTCAATTCTGCGGTGAACATTAACATATAATTATAATATAATATAATATAATTTGACTTAAGTGCATTGTGAGATTCACTTTATATTTGACTTATTTTAAAAGTAAATAATGTCACATCAGTGTGCAGTTAAAACATTCCACAGTTAAGAAAGAAAACTTATTCTCGTTCTTATTCTGAACAATCTGTAACATCTGGATTTTGAGGATTTCTTTGTTGTTTTTTGTTTTGTTTTGTACAATTAAATAATAAATGAAGACGACAAAGATAAAAGAATGTGTCATTGAAGCGGCACAAAGCCCATGAAGCCTCCAGAACAGGATCCAAACATCACGGAGTGAACGTGCATGAGGTATTACCTTGTATCATAAGTATTCTTCACACGTAGAAACGCTCAGGACGGCGGTTGTTTCGCCGTTCGTGTCCCTCCTCTCGTTTCGACGTGTTCCTTTGTGAGCTGGCGACCTATGACCTCACCACGTGACCCTCCCGCTTTCCCCGCGCGGCGCGTTTAATGCTTTATTGACCTTCAAAACATTCTGATTAAAATGATTCTTCTGTGGTAAGATACCATGACAGAAATAATCTTTTTCAGAGTCAAAATACATTTCTGATACTGTAAGTAAAGAAAATGAAAAATAAGAAGTAAATTAAAGGTCAGAGTCTATCAGCTTACCGGCTCTGTAATTCTGCCTGGATTTAAGTTTTTCAAATATTACATGAGCGGTATAATACAGAGGCAAATATGACAGAGATCTCCACATATCATAATCATCCTTAATACAAAATAATCTTCCACTAAACCTTTAATCCGGGTGTCAAATCTCAGATATCAGGAAGATCTGAGATTTTTTTGTATTCCAGATGTAGTTACATATTTTTAATCCTTCCTCTGGTACGAAGAGGAAGACGGATAGTGTAAAAAAAAGGAATAATAAAAATGAATTATATGTGTAGAAGGGATCAGAGAAAACAGATCGCACAAAATAAGAGTATTATTGTTCCGTATCGGATTCAAGTGGTCGGTTGTTTTTACGAATCGTTAGCACATCGGTCAGGTGACATGATGATGCAACATCTGTATTATCATCTGACGCCACAGCTGGCGGGTCATTCCGTCAAAACAAGGGTCTTTCTTCCAGAGCTTTGAGCCTCTCGGGTCTTCATGTGAGGACAGTTTGCTCTCCGTCTCAGAGAAAGGAATAAAAACTAATAGTATTATTCAACGTTCTCCTTTAGCGACTTCTTTTCTATGACTAAGTGACACATTTTATAGATATTTCTATAGATAAAAGACAGAATAAACTACAGTCAAGCCAAATAGTTATTAAATAATAGGTGTGTAATAAAACAAGACATTTGGGTACATTTTGAGCAGATTCCCTCTGATCTTGTAACACAATTATCTGCCGTAATTCTATATTTTTAGTATTTCTTTTCACTTTGCTTGTTTTATTTGCGTCCTTTCTGGTCAGCAGAGCGAAATCGCTCCGTAAGTATTAACTGATATTACCGCTCGGACACGCTAGTTTATTTAAATTAAAGGAGGAACAACAAGGATGAACTTGGAAAAAGGACGAGGTTCCACTTTTTTTCCCCACATAATGTGTTGACAAATCACATGATAGAGACCAACACAAGCGCTGTCATTTCAGCATTTAAACATCGACATTTATTGGACATTTTAGCCGACAAACAAATACCAGATTTCACATTCCAGCATTACTCTCGTGAAGATACACAAACATCTGGAGAGGGTTTCCTTTCTGACCAAACATCAGGAATCGGATCCAGTTGGTGTCGGTGGTTTTACAAGAGTCAGAAACACAATTACACCAGAGAACAGAACGGAAGGAATTGCACTTAAAAAAACTTAAATAACAAATATAGTAGGGATTTATGGCGGCCGTAGCTCCTTTACCCACTGAGTCGCCGTTTCTATTCCCCCCAAATGCTGCGGTCCACAGGTCCAACATCTGTGAGCGAGAAACCCGAGTTCCTCCCAAGATGTTCCCTGTGTTCACGACCAATTAAATTAAATCTGTTTTTTTGTGAATAAACATCAGATTAAAACAGAAGAACTTTCCAAAGTCAACAGACTTTTAGTCATTTAGAAGCAACTCGTTCTCCCGTCGTGTTGCAGCTTTCCTTCAGCGTCACTCTGGAAATTACAAAGACTTTTCCCAGCAAATAAAAAGCCCAAAAAGTCACGGTCCCCTCAGGCCGCTATGGCTCCCCGAGTTCGCCCTCCATGGTTCGGACCAGCACGTAGAGCTCGGCGAGCCCGACCACGGACGCGGCGATCACGGCCGCGATCACTCGCTGGAAAACAAGCGACAGAAACCAACAAGGAAAGAAAAAACGTTGGTTACTTTTGAACAAAATATAATGCTCTAACGTGCATAATTCTAACAATATTCTGTTAGAAAAGGGGAGAACTTAAACGTACACAATCATTTCCATCAGTATTGTAAGTGGATTTATAGTGGACAGTTGGCTTTACACAGAGATGCTACTTGTGAAGCAGTCAAGGATCATTTTTGTTTTTATGCAAAGAAACGCAGCTGTGTAGCAACAACAAAGACTCTCTTACCGCCCCGGTGTCGGTGAACAGGTACTGACTCCCCATGTAGGAGCAGGCGAACGCAGCCACCACCGTCACCAGGAAGTTGAAGACTGTCGCCACCACGGCTTTGACCGACCTCACTGCAGGAGGAAGAGGAAGAAGAAGAAGAAGCTGATTTGGCCTCTGACTGCTGCAGTGGTGATTATATAATGAGCACTGAAACTGCAACGACATATCAGAACGGGAACCAGCTTCTTACCTTCACGTCCGAAATCTGCCAACGTTCCGCCTCGGCTGACTTCCTGAAGACAAAGAGAAAATATTATATATAATAAATAAGAATTATATTTGTATATTTAGACCTCATAGCACGAAATCCCACCTGGGACGTGATGAAGACATTTCTTATGTAAACAAAAAGGTACCTGAGTGTTGACATTGCGCGTGATCCTGCTGTATTCCTCGTTGGCCAGTCGGGCTTTTATTTTCTCGAGACGCGCGACCAGGACGGGGTTCTAAGAGAGGAAAGTCAACGGCTTGATTCTCTGTTGTTCCCAGGTTGTTTTGAGTATCTTTATAGTTCTTTTGGAAATAATAATATGTCACATAGGACAGATACATTTCAGAAATTGGGCTCTATTGTCAAGGTAGTTTTGAGAAATCACATAAAAACTTAAGTGTGAATACGAGGAACTTTCATGTTGTGTTGATTCTGTCGCCCCCTGTGGACTAACGTGGTAGTGCTCCCTCACACCAGGGTCCCTTCAGAAAAACCCTCATTCTACTGCAGCATGGTCTCACAGTCTGCCCCTTCCAGTCCTGGTTCTGGTTCTCCCGGACCTCCCTTCCCTCTAGCGGGTCGAGCACTACGTTCTGAGTCTCCAGAGAAGACATGCTCTGCTCCTGGAGGAGGAGACGCTGCTGGTGCTGCCAGGAGATGAGCTCTTCTCCCCGCAGAGCTCAGGTAAAGCCGGATCGTGGTCTGTCCACGGTGGTCTGGAGTCTGCTGGAGGACCTGGGTCTGTTCACAGTGGTCTGGTGTCTGCTGGAGGACCTGGGTCTGTCCACGGTGGACTGGTCTCTGCTGGAGGACCTGGGTCTGTCCACGGTGGACTGGTGTCTGCTGGAGGACCTGGGTCTGTCCACGGTGGACTGGTCTCTGCTGGAGGACCTGGGTCTGTCCACGGTGGACTGGTCTCTGCTGTAGTCTGAAGGATGTTCTGGTGAACCTGCACGATGTCATCTGGTTTCACCAGAGTCTAACCCGGTGGCGCCGATGACGTCATTAAGAAGAATGATGTAATAATGCTACCTTGCGAGTGCAACACTAATGCAGCAGCTGGGGGTCTAACAGATGTTTAATAGAACTTTAGCATCACATACTCTGGGAGGCTTCACCACCTCAGGCAGGTGCAGCATACTGTCCTCCAACAGCTCGTGCAGGTAGAAGGGATGACCTGGAGGAGAACAGCCACAAGGACGCATCGTTACTGGATGGGTTCGAGTATTGGTCGTTGTGTTGCAGAACATCGGGTACCTTCGTCCTGGAGGTGTCTCTTCAGAGTCCTCGCGGTGCGGAAGGACACGGTCGTCGGTCCCGTTTTTCCAAGAGTCTCCTGCAGTTCTTCTCTCAGTCGTTCGGGCAGACACGAGTCGGTCCGTTCCAACAGCTGCGTCACCTTATTTCTGAATTTATCGCCGACTGTAAATGCCGACGCCATTCTTTTAAATCCCAATAAGTGACCGGAAGCGTGACGTTAAGCGACGCAGCTGTCTAGATAAAACATAACAAAGCGTGTTCTCTGTTAGCGAACATATGGCGACAGGAAGGGGAAGCCGACACAACCCGTAAACGTTTTAGTTGTTTGAAATATAATGTTAAAAGAACAGCGAGTGGAGGTTTTTCGTTCAAGCCCAGCAGGACGCCATGTTGTTGATCTTGTGACATGATGACGCAGTTGCTCATGTGACCGTAAATACTTATCATTATTGGGCAATTATTTTTACATCCTAAAATCTCTTTAATCATTTTTATTATTATTATTTAATTCATATTTATTTATGAGTGGAACGTAATGTTTTATTCCACATTCCGCTGAAATGTTTCTCGCTTTGGGACGCGACCTCCTTTTGGTGCCTTCAAGGCCTCCAAAAAAATGGATTTAAAAAAAAGGCCTGACACGCAAAAACATTTGCCAAAAAGGGCTACAAGACTAGTATTCATAACCTTTTTTTTTACTAATTCACACCTGACCTCCACACTTGTAGGCTCTTAGCACTTGACAAAACGTTAATTAGGCAGACATTTGAGTTGGACGTTGTTGTAACTTTTTGATTATATAAATGAAAACTTCACTGCTTAAAAATATCATGAATGAAAGCAAGCTTGCGAATCCATATCGTTTTGGGTCATTGCGTTTTGTTTCAGGAACAAAATAACCACCACCTGTTCTAAAAGATCATAGAAATTCGAGTTTAGAAATGATCGTTCTCGTACGTACGACTCTCTCAGTCACCCCCTGAAAGCACCGTCGTTACCTCATCCCTGTAAATGCGTGCGCGTGAGCTCTCCTGCCACTGCTCCGGCTGTTAAAGATGGCGGCCTGCGCGTTACGCCGAGGCTTGTTGAGCACTGTCAGTAAATACAACAAGAAGCACACACACAGAATACTGAGCGTTGTTGACGGCGGCAGCGGATACGAGGTGTTCAGGCCGCGGGTTCAATGCCGGGCCTGCGGACTGCCCGGTGGCGTCCAACAGAGGCGGTTTATGTCGTCACGGTAAGACCCGCAGCCAGTGTCGCCCTCCCCGTCATATGCTAACATGCTAAAGGATTTGGTTAACGTTAGCTGCGTGCGATCCCTTCAGGGTGGCGCCGTAAAGACACCCGGCTACGTTTCTGCTGAGTTGACAGCTGCCTCGACACGAGCGCGTTTTGAAAACGTGAGCTGACATTTATTGAGGGTAAACTTTCAGAAAGTGCCGTTGTCCTCTGTTGCTAGCGGGCTCGCTGCCTTGCTAGCTAGCCAGCTGCTTAAAACTAGCTGCTTAGCTAACCAGCTAGGTACCTGGGCAGCATGGCTTAGTAACACCTGACAGCCTCCAAGCTGCGTCACAATGCCTTATATCACAATAAATGAATGCAATAAATGCCTTATATCACAATGGAGGAATGTTATTCAATAACTTTCCATACTTAAGAGACATTCTATTGTGGCTTATTATAATCCGCTGAAACTGTTGAAACAACTTGTAAATCATCTAATGTAATCATTATTACACCATTGCTTTATACATTTTGCCCGGGGACCAATTAGGGTTTAGGTGTCTTGCTCAGGGACACTTCGACTTGAGACCTCGGGCAGCTGGGACTCGAACCACCAACCTTGCAGTTCCCAGCGCACCCCCTGCGCCACGACGACCCCTATAGTTATTCTGTGACAATTATTTAATAACTAATTAACTGGATAGCTTCTTGCTCACATATTCTAAATATGATTGTTCTGTTTCACGTTATCGCATTTAGTCACGATTATAGTTTTCTAATTCCTAAAAGCCTCATTTTTTTATTGGGCATATAGTTTATATTTGTCCACTGGCTCTTATAGGTTCATGAGACCCTTTTCCAAACCTCCACATGTTCATATATTAACTTATGATTTAGTTTCTTACCTAGATTGCACTTGCAGTTTTATGTCATAATATATTGAGAAACCGTTCACACATTAAACGGTGTGTTTCTGTGTTTGTTGTTTTTCATTTCATGACACGTGTCAACTTGCAACATTTCACAATAGTTCAATATCAATATAGATATAAATGGTATAGCAGAACTATTATGTATGCCTGGCATTAATATGGGACAGCATGCAACACCACAGGGACCTGGAACTCTTACTAAACAGTTGATGTTAATCTAACTGGTTGTTTTTGAAAAGCAAAAGAAGCAAGTCACCTTTCTGAATCCAGATGGACATACTTTGTTTTAAGTTCAAGTGATTCAGGCTTTTCGTCGCACTAACGGAAATAAATTGATGGTGCAAAAGGTGCGTTGTTGTGATCCACTGCAGAGAGAAGCCAGTCTGTCAACCGTATTCTGAAGGAATCTTATTGGGATTTTGTAAAACGACCTCGACGAGAGGAGATGTAGTTGGGTGGAATAAAGGCGGAGTGAGACAACACCAATTTGTGTCCCTTGAAACTAACTTTTTTAATTTATTTCTTTTTTTCATTGTGTAAAGCACATGTCCGGTCTTATTGCAGTCGCCAACCTTTTACCCAAAGAGGACGATTGCTCTGCGGCTCGATGAACGGTCTTCTCTCTGCAGAGTAGAGCGGCGAGGTCAGCTTGTTCCCGTGCTCTCTGGCACGGGGTTCGTTGGCCGCGCGTTTCAGAAAGGACGGCTATATTTAGATCTGATTATCCAGACAGGACCGGACAGGGAATTGACATTTCTCAGTTTAGAGGTGTGTTCCAAGAGCCCTTTCCATGTTCAGTGGAAACATCAGGATATTCCTGCAGTTATTCACGTGGAATTGGGGAGGGGGGGGCGTAGTGTGTGTGTGTGTGTTGCTCCCTCGTATGAATAGAAAGTTGTTTTAGGTTACCAACAGATTATCAGTCGCTAGTTCAACATGTTCCTCCTCCAAGATGATCACATCTGGGGAGTTTTGTGTTTTAAAATACAATTAATGCCTAAAATACACGCTGTCTGAATTGAATACTTGTACATTTATAAGATTTGGCCTTCAGAATAAAAACATCTATTGACAGGCCTAATAATCAGGTTATTATTCTTACAGGCAGGATAAGTAAATAACCACAAGCGCTCCATATATCCACCTCATTAATCCCCCGCGCTTCATCTGTGCTGAAGATTAGCTTTGCAGGCGACTATTCTTGTTATTTATTTCGAGGCACCAGCTGTTGTGTGCGTTTGTGAGACTGCAGGCGAGGACGTAGATTAGAATGATATTTCTCTTTGTTGACATCTGACAAATCGAGGTGTTTTATTTAATCTGGTCAAAGTTGTGATTGTGATTACGACTGACGGGGCGGAGAGATGTTTCTTAAAGGGATGAATGTAAATTGTCTCCATGGGGGGCTGAAGCCTTTTCTCAACTGTTGATGCTCCGCAGGGATTTAAACGGTTTGTTTGTTCCTACAAAATGTTTTTTGGGGGGGGGGGGGGGTAAAGTCAAACCTACAAATGTTTATGAGTTATGGTCTCAGTCTCTTGTTTCAAGTCTTCTTCAATCACACATGATGTTCATTTAGTAAACTATGGTCCCTTTAGAGTCAAACAGACCATAAAGCAGGGGGCGCTTTAGGGCGGGGCTACACGCTGATTGACAAGTCTTGATGTCCTTGAAGTCCAGATATGGTCACTTTCCAGTTCACTGGTTGATGAATCCACTGTTTCAAACACACACACACACACACACACACACACACACACACACACACACAGTGTCCAGTGTGTAATGGTGTTGCCTGTTTGGCAGGAGCAGTCCTGAAGGGAAGATTTTGGAGACGGTGGGAATGTTTGAGGCTGTAAAGCAGCACGGAAAATATGAAACGGGACAGGTAGGTTGTTCCCATCTCACTCACTCTAACATCACATTCCCTCATGTCAATATTAGACATATTCTTTTATGATGTCATGGCCACCTCGGCCTGTTTTCTAGCTGTAAATCAATCTTTTTGTATTTTCTTATGGCACATTTGCCCCTTCAGCTGTTCCTGCACAGTGTTTTCGGCTACAGAGGCATCGTCTTGTTCCCCTGGCACGCCCGGCTCTACGACCGAGACATCACCCCCCCCATGGCCGAGAGGTAAACCTCTTGCCCAAAGCACCCCCTTGTTTTGTGGTAGACTTTGTTTATCGGAGATCTAATTGATTTATTTTCCTTCCTCACTTTGGTTCCTTCAGCAAACCGGAGCCTCCTGGAGCTCACGGCTCCAAGGAGGTGAAGGGCAAGACTCACACCTACTACCAAGTCCTGATCGACACCCGGGACTGCCCCCACATAGTGAGTCGCCCTGTGGTCAAATCCCTGTGAAATGAATTGTAAAGGCTTCCTGCTGAGGGGATTAAAGCAGATGTAGTTCAGTAGAAAGTATGGTGGTACTCAGTAGTCATCTGGACGCGCAGTAGGCGGAGATGTTCAATGGAGACCACGCCTCCCACTGATCTCTGGTTGTTTATGTGTGGATTCTGTTTCTTTGCTGTTGCAGTCTCAGAGGTCCCAGACGGAGGCGGTGACGTTTCTGGCGAACCACGATGACAGCAGAGCCCTGTACGCCATCCCAGGTGTGCCCACGTCACGTGTCTCATCATTCCGACGCTTTCAATCCAACGCTCTGGATTCTTTTTTAAAGATGGAGGATAGAAAAATATAATATCTTGTTTTCTTAAATATATTTCCGTGACCTTGAAATGATCCCTTTTATTATTTTATGAGAAGTTGCCCAAGTATTTTATATCTGACTTCCACAAAGTGGGCTCATGAGATGCAATGAAAGTTCAACTAAATTAAGTTAATATTACATTTTAAATTCAATTAGAGTGTGTAGAGCACCTAGAACGTCCCATAATTCAACTCAATCCTGTGTTTTGTCAAAACCCGTCTTTCTGGTAAGCGTGGCAGTCACCCCCGTCGAGAGGTCCTCTCCTCCCAGGCACCGGGGGGGTGGGGGGGGGGGCTGCTTGTCATTCTCCCGTCTTCAGTTCCACATCAGTATAAGAGCGTCGTGATGGTTCTCTCTCCTTCAGGTCTGGACTACGTGAGCCACGAGGACATCCTGCCCTACAACTCTGCAGAGCAGATCCCCATCCAGCACGAGCTGTTTGAGCGCTTCCTCATGCACAACCCGGCCAAAAGTAAGCGCGCCCCCCACACACACACACACACACTTTTAGGACCTTTTCTTTTATTGTCAGAGGAAATATCAACGTGTTTTTCAATATACACGGTGAACTAAAATAAGTATTTCGATTATTTCCATCATAACAAAAGTGTGAATGCTTTATAATGAAGCAAATGAGTCCCAAGGATCCATTTCCCTGAAACACGAGTCCGCTCATTGTTGGTGAGTCAATGTGTGTTTGTGCGTCTGCAGCTCCTCCGTTCACATCCAGAGACACCCTGAAGGCCTGGCAGGAGAAGAACCACCCCTGGCTGGAGCTCTCCGACGTCCACAGAGAGACCACGGAGAACATCCGGGTCACCGTCATCCCCTTCTACATGGGCATGAGGGTCAGTGGGGGCACGGCGGCCATCTTGCTTCTGGCCCTGTAGGCTTCTTTAAATGCTAATGTAAAATGTTTCTTCTTCGCAGGAGGCCCAGAACTCCCACGTTTACTGGGTGAGTGGCTTTTAGTGTGTGTGTGTGTGTGTGTGTGTGTGTGTGTGTGTGTGTGTGTGTGTGTGTGTGACACCGGTGTGTTGTCGCCCTGCAGTGGCGCTACTGCATCCGCCTGGAGAACATGGGCAGCGAGGTGGTGCAGCTGAGGGAGCGGCACTGGAGGATCTTCAGCCTGTCGGGAACCCTGGAGACTGTCCGAGGGCGAGGAGTCGTGGGCCGCGTTAGTACTTGTTTACCTTTTTCCAACTTGAACACAAATGTATTGGGAAGATCTGATCTTACACGCGTGATTGAGCTGTAAAGAACTGAAGTGTTCTGTGTCTCGACCTCCAACGTTCTGGTCTTCTCGTCTCTCAGGAGCCGGTGTTGTCCAAAGAGCAGCCGGCCTTCCAGTACAGCAGCCACGTGTCCCTACAAGCCCCCAGCGGCCACATGTGGTGAGTCCACGTCTGGAACTTTCAATCACTGCCCCCCCTCCTCCTCCCCTCCCTCCCCCTCTGCAGGTTTAACACTCTTCTTTCTGTCTCCAGGGGGACGTTTCGCATCGAGAGGACCGACGGCTCCCACTTCGACGTCCGCATCCCCCCCTTCTCGCTGGAGAGCAACAAAGAAGACAAAGCGCCCCCTGCTGGCTACACGTTCTAACTGACCAGTCGGGCTCCTACGCCGCAACGTCGCCTCGGCCTTCAGCGCGAGATTGACAGTCAGGTGACTCAGGGAGGGGAAAAAAAAGTGTTTCTAGGCCTAAACTCCGCCCCCTTTCTATTCCTGTGAGGTCGCAGAGCGGCATTACGTCATCGAGTGACTCATGAGGTGGAAATGTTATCATGAAGAGCCTTCAAGTCCAACATGTGACTCTGCGATGTACAGAAAAAGCACCCGGCAGTGTTCTTCCTGTTACGCTTCCCGTTCTTCCCTCGCGGTGCAGTTGAGCCGGTTACTGTGCTGAACTCCCATTTATCAGTTAAATGTACAAAAAGTCCAAATGAACCTGAGTCTCACGTCCCAAAACGAGCTACACGGATCTCTACTCACCGCAACTCCTAGAAAACACCAGATCATTATTTATTTGGGTGATTTTTGTAATCCTGTTGACTTTAAAGTCCAATTCTCTTGATTACATCCACTGTTTGAACATCCGGGTGTGTGGGGGGGGGCGGCTGTATACTTTTTATAAGCAGTGGACTGAAAACGTTTGGCTTTTAGTTAATAACAAAAGAACGCCATAAAATAATCAAAGTGAGCTGAGAGGCTTTTGTGTTTTAAAAAGAAAACTTGTCTAAAAAGCAGAATCAAGTCGTCATCGTCCTGGACACCGAATGGAAAAACAAAGTTATTTTTTCTGTTCAACGAGAAGAAACACGTGAATACTGTAAATAAATATGTAATTAAACGAATAAATAACCTTTTTTGAAAAGTACAACTTGATGATGGGAGTTTCTTTCATTTATGTTCCTGCACTTCTCAGACTGGAAAGAAATGGAATGTTTGTGTTCAATGAGCTTTGATTTGACTCGTTGATGTTTAAGGATCCGGATCCAAATGACTAAGTTTATAAACCTTAACCAGCAGAGGGAAGCGTCTCACCGTCCATCGAGCAGCATTGAATGCTGACCAGTTTACCTTTAGTGCACTTGTCCAGATGTAAATGATACCCGACAGTTGAGCTGAGAAACTACATCATATACTAATTAAATCCATTTGATCTAAATAAATTAGCCACACTCTCCAAAGCATTTTAAATGAAGAGTTTTGCCAACGTGATTTTTTAAAATGTTATGCATAACGCTGGACTCCATCGAAACAGCCTTTTTTATAAATCTTTAATGACTTGAAACCATTTTTATAAAATAAGCATTTATTTGCTTTTAGTAAAAAAACATTGCATAAAGCATTAGTTTTAATCCGTTTTATAAAGTACAAAAAACATCCTAATTCCATTTAAGGAAAAGTCAAATACGTGCGTCACAAGCCTGGTTTCTATTGCAGTTTTAATAATATATAATATACATAACTGTTCATTTTACGACCAGCTTTATGCCGAATTCACAAAACACCGCGCAGGATTGTGAAGAGAACGTCTCATCTCGACAATACGTGAATGTGCGTTTCAACGAGCGACGTTAAAGTAACGATTAAAAACGCGACGCGACCCAAACTTCCCCCTCCACCGCGTGCACTCGCTGCGCGCTCCCGGCACTCGGTTGAACAGGAGGGGTTTTGGGATACATAATTCACCGCCCCACACACACACACACAGTTACACGCGCACACATTCCGTTCAGTGCAGCCCGACAGACACCGAGACGTTGCGCTTCCTGCTCCGCCGGCGGATGGAGGCGCCTCCACCTTGGACGAGGACGAATGCGGATTTTCGGTGTTTCCGCGTGAGGACGGACAGGACAGCGCGTGCGGGGAGAGGAGGGGGGGGGGTCCGTATGTTTTTGGGTCGGTGGGGAGCTGTGATCGTCCAGTAAACATGCCCTGCTGCATGCACCACCACCTCCTGTAGAGGAGCAGTGAGGGACTACCGCAGCTGCGTGGAGGTGGAGCGGGAGGTGGTGGAGTTGTGCCCGGGATGGGAGGCTGCGGACGGGCCGCTGCAGCCGGTAGCGCTCCTGCCTCCTGACTTTGTGTCTCCCTGTGTGTGTTTTTTGTGTTGTTTTTTTGCAGCCATGCTGCACGCAGCTCCCTCGGATCTGTTCCCCACCTGAGCTGCACTGTCTCCGGTTTGACAAGTTCCCCCAAAACTGGAGCTTCATCCTCTGCATGTTTGTGTGGTGATGATGAGCTTTCTTCTCCAGCAGTTTGGGTCTGTTTTGCCTCACACATCATCATCATCATCATCATCAGAAGGCGCATCTCAGACACCGATCACACGCGGTCGGTGCGCGTGACTTCTTTGCACCGTCTCCTCCAAACAGTTAACCAAACGTCAACCAAACACCTCCACCCGATGGGTGCCAAGCAGACCAAGGGCCAGGAGGCCGGAGGGGCCAGTCCCCAGCACGGCTGGAGACGGACGCCCACCAAGGAGCGGGGCGACATCTTGGCCTCCCTCATGCTGAAGTCGGGGGACCGCGTGGGCCGCGGCGGGTCGTCGTCGACGCCGCCGCCGCCGTACCAGCGCCGCATCGGCATGATCCAGGAGATGATGCTGATGGCCAAGCAGGGCAAACAGGACGAGGCCACGGAGATGCTCAAGACTCTCCGACAGGTAGCAGCTCTGTGTGTGTGTGTGTGTGTGTGTGTGTGTGTGTGTGTGTGTGTGTGTGTGTGTGTGTGTGTGTGTGAAGCTCTCAGAGGTCACAAGGTCACCACAAATGAACACTTGCTCTGTTCATTTCTATGCATTCGCATGAGGTGTCTGCTATGTGGGGAGGGGGGGGACTTGCCAAAGGGCCACACTCCGCCGTACTATAGAAGACCTTTTGTTGTGTTGGTTCTGGCGCCCCCTGTGGCCTAAAGTAGTAGTGCTTCCTCACACCAGAGTCCCTTTAGAAAACCTCTCGTTTTACTGCAGCGGGGTCCGACCCTGAGAACCAGAACCAGGACCGAGGCAAACTCATCGATACGTCCTGGGGTCCAGCCCCCCCTTGGCGACTGACGGAGCGAAAAGAAGCCTGTGATTTCACATTTGTCCCGTGTTTTCCTCCACGACTTTGTTCCCCTCGTTTGTGGAGATCTCCCTCCATGAATCAGAGGCCATCCGGCGTCCTAATAGTCCCCCAATGACGGCTTGTACACGTGATCATATTTACGCATTTCTTCACACAAAAGTTCTTCAATCTGATCCGTTCTCTCGTAAACGTTCTTCCTTTTAATAACGGCCGTATTGTGCTGTGAAAACGGGGATGTGAGACTCCGTAAAGGACGTAGTCAGCGGACCAATCACAGCCTGGTGCTGCGGGAGGCTGCGTCGCTTTTGACGCTAGTCTAGAAAAATGGGTCGACGCTCGCAAGGAGGTGTGAAAAGACACGCAAGGGACACGCAAGGGACACGCAAGGACACGCAAGGGACACGCGTTTCCTTGCGTCTCTCTGAAAAGGCAGAAGCATAAACTAGGCTTTTCCCTGCAGAAGGTGAGGGGCTGAGACACAAAGGGAAATAAGAAATGCCACCAGTTGAACTGAAAAGGAGGAAGCGAGCGATGATGTGAAGTGTTAAATCTGATACGTCATTGTCATTCGGAGGAGAGCAGGCCGGGGGAAGGGAGCCGTGAGCCCCTGCCGACGGAATGCACACAATCCATACGCTGCCTCCGTTTATCCCTCTATGACTCAGCCACAGGGAACAGTGCCTCCCAACGCGCGACACACACACACCACACACACACACACACACACACACACACACACACACACACACACACACACACACTCTGCTTCACAGTTTATTGTTTGGGGCCTCGGAGCTGCTTTTGTGTTCCAGTTTTCTTATCGTTTAGAATGTTAATCCTTGAATCAATGAAAGACACAGTTCACCTCTTCATCCATCACTGTTATCAGAAGTGTGTGTGTGTGTGTGTGTGTTTGTGTGTGTGTTGGAGGTGGGGCTTTCATCCATGACACTGCTCGATTGAGCCACAAGTCTCCAGAGGAAGAGTCAGGTTAGACATACAAACGGGCTCTGTGTGATTAGGAAAACAATAACAATGGACAGCCAATTATTTGCTTCGTCAATCAACCGATTATTCAAAATTATGACATATCAAAGTCTCGTTGGGTGTAAACTGGTTTCAGCTTGTCACCGCGGTCACATGACTTCACGTTAGACTATAGAGGATCTCCACCACGGTCACATGACTTCATGTTAGACTATAGAGGATCTCCACCACGGTCACATGACTTCACGTTAGACTATAGAGGATCTCCACCACGGTCACATGACTTCATGTTAGACTATATAGGATCTCCACCACGGTCACATGACTTCATGTTAGACTATAGAGGATCTCCACCACGGTCACATGACTTCACGTTAGACTATATAGGATCTCCACCACGGTCACATGGAGGTCTAGTGTTAGTGAGAACGTTTATTAATCTCATTTAGACTTTTTTCTCAACCACAGACCTTGGAGACAAGCAAACCTTAAGTGAAAATCGTTGACTCATTTCTGGTTCTATATCCGGTAGTTCCTCCTCCTTCTACTGCCACAGCGCCGGAAGCACAACCGATTGTTTGCCTGTGAACTCTGGTTTTCTCAGCCGATAAAGCGCGTGCACTGAGGATGAAAGGTGTGGTTGTTTGTGTGACCCTAACCCTAAGTACCTTTCTTCAACTGGCCTCATTGTGAGATGTTCAGGCCTTTATTTGCAGCCTCTCTTTAGTGTCCGTCCATTAACGGCATCTGCTGCTTGGAGATTTGTGGTGGACCTCAAAGCCTCTAACAGCACCTGGCAGGCTGCTCCTCATCAGGCGATTTCAACACAATTTATAAACTTAACATATTTCCTCATCTCGTCGTGTTATTAGAGCACTGCTGTTGTGTCGATAGGAAGGAGCAGACTGCATCCAGTGGGTGGAGGGTGGAGGTCAAGCTCTTTCAACCTCTGGAGGTGAAATCGGTTTTCAGGCCTCCAGTCTGGAATAATTTAGAACAGCGATGCTAAGGGATGAAAACAAAACGCTGGCTCGTGAAAAACCAAAAGCTCCTCCTCATCAGGCGGCTTCATAGCTCTGGTACGGAACAGTTTGTGATGGACCGGAACGTGCGATGAATCGGATGAAGACAATTACTGAGGATGAAAAAGAGGAGAAATAAACGCCGAGGGTTTGAACCGCCGATGAAGACGAGAGGCAGAGATTACAGAGACATTAGAGGACACTCCAGGAGAGAAAAGAAGAAGAGGGGAAATGACTCAGAAGAAGAAGAGCTTGTTTGCGGTTACCAGGCTCTCCTCCATGTTGCCCGGATACCATGGCGATGGTCGGAGGGATAAGGGCTCGGAACAAATAGACATTGATTAATCAAGCCGGAGCTCTGTTAAGAGCTAATGATAGGACATCTTCTTCATCACCGCCCTTCAATTTCCCCCCCACGACCCCCCCCAAGAGCTAAACGATGACCATCAGCGTCTGTGGAAACCTCCACAAGCGCTAAATGTTTGCGCAGTGGTTCACGCGCTGTGTGTTAGCTGGATTATTATGTCATCTCGTAGCATTTGACTAGCAGGGACGCGTATTACTGGGATCTCTGTACTGCTCATCCTGTCGGTTCTACCGGCGACTCTTATTGGTTCTTTTTGATCATATTATGAGAAAAGATAATAGACATTGCTGCATTTTTCTTGTATGTAAACAAACTGCAATAGAAAAAACTCTTCATAACGGATTCTCATGTAATCAATGAGGTTTCATTGGTCAGACTCCCTCCGTCGTCGCCGTGGTTACCTGCTGCTTGTCGGTCTCGTGGTGTGATGAACCGCTGCTCTGTTTAGAACCGTTACCTCTGACCTCTGACCTCACGGGTTCACTGGGTTTCGGGGCTCGTCGTTAGTGACCGGTGCTTCATCCAGTGACGACCGGCTACTGAACATCCTTTGTTTAAAGTTCTGGACACAATCGGGGGTTTTAAATCCTTGTTTACGTTCAAGAACCAACAGATATGTTTGATCCAACTCTCCTTCTTTCTTCCATTTTATGCGTATGTCTTTATACTAAAATCTGATTTATTCAATCACATATATGTTGATACACTTTTATCGTATGGCCGTATATTTGCCATTATAAAGCCCTCCCTATATTTCATTGAATAAATAAAAGTACAGATAGACTGCAGGATGATTTGTCTGTTTGATTTCAATTTTGTTTTATATTTATTGCCACTATTATCTACCCCAGACTGTTCTAAACAATAAGGAGTTATTATTTGTTCACACTCTAAAAAATGTTACGGTAAATTAACGGGAATTTTACTGGCAGCAAGGACGCCAGGAATTTACCGTTATTTTACGGTATAATGCCGTAAATAGTTTTTACACTATGTTACCGTAAACTTGAACGAATTTTACTGTGAATTAACTGCAATTTCCTGGCAGTCGACGCTAGTAACTTACTGTTTTATTTACAGTGCCCTACCGTAAGTTACGGTATGTTGTTGTATATTGGATTTCAGTTTCTTACCATACGATTACTGTTTTTGTGTTATAAATACCAGAATGTTACCGTTTACTTATAACCGTATACTTTCGCATTTAATTCCCCATAAATTAAAGAAAGACAACCAAACTCATTTCGGTCATAGTGGTTGGAGTTTATTAGAAAAATGTTCGGCATTTGTAACCAAGAACAAAACATAAAATATGCCGCATGTATACAATAATAAAAAAATGAATCATAAAATCATTAGGAACAAGGTAAATGACTGGCGTCCTTAATCCAGTGCCTCTGTAAAACAAACCAAATTAAAATATTTAGAAACACTGTCATTGGTAAAATATTAAAAATACAAAGTTGAGGAAGACAACATGTAAGGAAGGAGAATGTTAACACTTACCAACGTTACTTGGAGAGACGAGGCAATGAGAAACTCCTCCCATGTTGAACTGACAGGTGTTCTGGATGAACTGAGATTACGCGTCTGACGTCACGTTCAGGAGCAGTCGGTCACGATTAACACTCAAATGACTTTTAGGCAATGAACACTTTGAATAATACAAATATTTATAATCTTTACATTCCGGCCACTGACAGCGGCACGACAGCGAAGGCGGCGCATGGGATAGGGAGGGTGTGCTGTGCAGCACAAGGTTGGCGGTTTGAATCCTGGCTGCTCCCTGTGCCAAGTTGAAGTGTCCCTGAGCAAGACACCTCATCCCCAATTACTTCACATACATTATGTCAAACCATGGGGGTTTGGGATAAAAGTGACAGCTGCATGTATAGTAATGTCCTGTAAGTCAAAGTCATCATCGTATCTCATTATGATGACTTACAGGACCTGTTTGTCAGTGGCTGACATGGGCTTCCAGACCTTAACCTACAACAGATGTAGATGGATTGTGATTCACTGCACTTGTATGTGTATTTCCACCACTTCATAAAATATATGTAACATGCAACTGAATTACGGTAGTCTGCTATTATTGTAAATTGACAGGTTTGACTGTTTATTCATGACATTGGCCGTTAATTTACAAGCAAGGGATGGAAATTTAACTGTATGTTACAGTTATTATGACATACTGTAAGATACCGTTAGAAATGCACCGTAAATTTACAGCAATTTGTTTCAGTGCAAATTAAAGCCCCCATCCTTCATGTTGTCACCCTGGTTGCAGATATTTCCATTGTCGTGTCATTATATGCATCACACTTTTGCATTTCATCCTGCAGCACCTCGAAATGTCACCCGAGGAGATCCCTAAACAGGCCTTTTGATATGAAAATGTGAATAACAACAATAATTCCTCAGCTGGTTTTCATTAACTTCATCCTGACAGAAGTGGACGAGTCTGTCGGGTCAGTGTGTGATCTTTAGAAGGTCAAAACCAGCCTCAGTTACCATCTCCCGTTAAGAGTTGTAGAAGTAGACGTTTCTATTTTGTCCTCGTCGTGAATATTTAATGGAAGAGGCTGATGTAGACAGTGGAAGGCTCATCTGGAGGGTGAATAACAACCTCGTATTTCTTTCCTTTTTTTAAATTTCTACCTCCGCAGCGAACACGCACGTTGTCGACACTCTTTAATTGCTGGTTTGTGAACCTTCTTTTGTTCAGATGAGAGAGAGACTGAGGATTCACTTCCACCTATTTGCACAGTCATGTCATTGTCAAACTATATTTGACATTAGATTTCACAGAAAAACAACCTCCCGGGTAATTCGTCACGATGCTTACTAAGACCGTATTTAGTGCTGCTGTAATTCGGATTTGGAGGTAAATGGAACCACTTTTTAACCTCATATTTGGTGCATGCATTGCATTTTGAACCATGTCCCTTTGCAACAAGACCAGATTTCTATAACTAAAAATCTATCTGGAGCATTTACATGAGCCAACCTGATATATAATATATATACAATAAAACGACTCTGTAGTCTGTCGTAAAAAGACATTTTACAGAACCACAATGCATCTTGCTGGAAGGTGTGAATCCAACTGGAAACAATGTAACACACACCTGTTGATGCACCCATTGCAGGTCGCTCTAATCTGCTGTGTTGCTATTATTGGCGTGTGTGTGTCTGTGTCTGTGTGTGTGCGTGTGTGTGTGTGTGTGTCATCCAATCGAAGCGCCTCCTTTGCAAAACAATAGGCAGAACGGGAACCTTCAGTGAGTCATACCTATTTGTGGGAGAGAGCATCTGTCTCTCTCGCTGCCGTTTGGCCTTGATGCCACTTAACTGTCTGAAAAAAGTCGAACAAACACAGAAATAAATCTGGAGACTCGATGAGCGATGATCACCTGAGGTCACAACATGCATTCACAGACACAAATCAAAACATTGGCGTGGAGAGAAAGGCGGAGGCTTTACGGCATGTTTGTGGCAGAGATGTACTCGATGGCTGTTGTCCTCCTCATTTCAAATACAATAAAATTTGAGGTTTATTTTGTACCTTTGGAAACAAACAAAGGAAACATTAACACAAGTCGATTGCAGTTACTAAATTGTATATTGCATCTTTTGTATGAGTGCTAGTATTGTATAGTATTTTATTTTAGATCGAACTGATAGCTATGGAGGGCTTTATTGTTACAGCTTTGTTGACATTTTGTAGTTATTTTGCAGATGTAAAATTATAAACTTAATACACTATTTACTTTATCACATTGTAAAATCCAGCTGAATTTCTATAACAGGTCTCAAAATACAGATAAGTGAGAAATACAGATAAGTGAGAAATGCCAAACCAAAGTCTTGACAGACATTGCTAAACGCTAAATGCTAGCTCGTAGCCCGAGCCATAATGTACTAAATGAACATCAAGCTGTCTTGAAGACTAAAGATTGAGACGATAAACTCATGTTTACAATGTTTACTGAGGGGATAAATCAAGAGAGAAGTAGAGTCATTTTCTTATAGACGTCTATGGGAGCAGAGGAGTCGCCCCCTGCTGGTCACTACACAGAATGCAGCTTTAATACATGAAGCGTTGGCTTCCCTTTTCAGAAACTGAGGTTGCCGCCTGAGGCAGAAGGCGTTAGAACCACTAAAGGCCAATAATTGTATCTGTTCCTCCACAATCAAGCTATAGCTCCACTTGTATTTCTATGAATGTCAATATGTAATGAGCAGATTACCCAGACTTTTACTGCCCACATTCAAACCTTCTCATTTCCATTTTCCACTCTGTGTGAGCTCAAATTGTCAGGATGATCTTTATCTAATTGGGCGGATGCAATGAAATGAGCATGTTCATACTACCGAGGGAGTTCATGACCTTTCCCTCTACTCCCACACTGAGGATAAATTAAAATTTAAAAAATGGTCCTATGACGAGTAGTTTGCAGTCAACAACTTCCAGCAGCTTTGTTACAGTCCTCTAAAAGTCTAATAAGACTTGTTGTCCTTTCTCTTTTTCAAGCTTTAAGAAGGACGCAGTTCAAGCGTGAAGTTCCGCCAACAGGCTGATAATTCGCACACTTTCACAATCCTCGACACAGTTTAATTTCCCCCTCAGCATCAAGCGGACAGACGGGCGGGAAGCAACGCAACAGACATTGAAATCACTGCTTTTGGGCAGCGTTTGTTAGCGAGGAAGGTCTGCCACAGCCAAGTCATTAGATCACCATGTGACTGAGGACGCCAACAATTAAAGATATTAAAATATAATGCAATTAGTGGAATATTTTCTGTGCATTGTAGGACCTGGGTATGGAGTCAACGTCTCTGGATGACGTGTTGTACCGCTACGCCAGCTTCAGAAACCTGGTTGACCCCATCACGCATGACCTGATTATCAGCCTGGCGCGATACGTCCACTGCTCCAAGACGGTAAGACACAAAGACACACATCTAGGTTACCGTGGAACACAGATAGTGGCGTTTACAGTAAACGTGTGTGCATGCTCTCACACACACACACACACACACACACACACACACCTACACGCACACACTGACCACCGTGATTCATTTTGCTGCTGCTATTTGACGATCATTTTGTGTGACACTATTAGGTTACGGAAGTGCTGTAAGTGGTTGTGTTGCTGTGAGTGTGTGTGTGAGAGTGTGTGTGTCCTTGAGGGCAGCACGGTGCCTTTGAGTTTGTCCGTTCACGTTGTCCACTGTGTCACCGGGGGGGAGAGAAAGCCCGACAGCGGCCATGCTGGATGAATAATGTGGGGAGGTATGAGGAGATGAAGATGGGAACGACCATGGGCCCACTTGTGAAACGCCGCTCAGTGCCGAACCGCCAACACAACGTGACTGTTTCCAAACCCAGCCAGCGGAAGCTAGTATTGCCCCTACACAGACACACGCAATTTGAACTTTGACACCCGACCCCTAACCGCTCCCCCGGCAAATGTAAAACCATGGGTTAAACATGCAATGTAAGTCGCTTTGGATGAAAGCATGAGCTAAAGGAAATGTAATTTTGGCGACCCTTGAACCACTATTTAATCCCTGCGAAAAATAATGTTTACAATGACAATGGACGTCTGTCCGGGTCATGGCTATACCAGCGCGTTAGCGTCCTTTTACCGACTGTGGTTAAGAAAATTTTAACTTTCATAATTAAAACTGTACTTGACTCGAAAGGTAAGGAACTAACGCTTACTTAAACATGGTTAAATCACCTGAAAACATTACACAATCATTAGCTTATCATAATCAATTAGCTGGCTAAAAACTGTCCGGGTTTGGAGACCGCTACGTTTTAATGTTAGCTAACGTAATTATTGTTAGCTATTGTAATTACTGTTGGTTTACGTTACCAGTCGTTTTAACTTCCCTATCGTATTAGCTTAATTTGCTAATATTAGCTAATATAACCTAGTTTTAGCTAACTCAGCCATTCATTCAGTCATTTTTGCTAATAGAACACATTTCAGCAAAACTCTTAACTATTGATAGCTGAAATTACTAATTTTATCTTAAGTAACTAAGCTTGCTAAATAACTAGTTATTTCACTAAACTAGTAATCTATATCATATAATATAATAAAGGTTATAATAAATAATAAATGTTAACCAACGTTACTATTGTTAGCTTAGGTAACCAGTAATTTGACATAACTGCTGTTAGCTGAGGTAATAAATTGACTTGAGGTAATGTTAATGTGATGCTAACGGTAACATTACTGTGACATTTACGTTAACCTTAATGTGATACCAACGTTACTTTCAGCCGCTGGGCCTTCGTGTTGCTGTTGGTATGAGTGAATGCAGGATTAATATCACAAAGGCAACTGTTTAGATCTTCCTCTAGATATCAGTTTAAGGAAGACATAACTGGTTTTATATTGAAGATTCTCATCTCAAGCTACACCCTCAGAGGCATTTTTATTTTGGTGAACAGGGAGTGCAGCTTCTGAATGATCAAATAAAACCGAGGGAAAACTAGATCCACATAAATCTCCCGAAGAAAAAAAATGATTATCTGCAAATGTTCTATTCATTGAAAAAGGAACCAGATTTGAATTACGGGGCCCCGAATGCACCGCGGGAACTGACAAATGTTTGTTATTAGCGTACGAGAGGCATTCTGCACACATGCTGAAACCACGGAGGAAATGGAGGAGAAGGTTTTTGTGTACAGTTCCTGATGAGAAGAGAAGAGCAGAGATGATAGAAACACCAGAGGGGGTGTTGTTATGTGCATAGAGGAGCAACGAGAGAGAAACAGGAGGAGACGCTGTGAGGTGTTATTTCCTCCTCATTCGGCTCTTTCCTTCCTGTCTGACACCATTCATTGCTGTTCTGTTTTACTTTTCCTTTCACAGATATTTGCTTCACTTTTGAAAAGGTTATTTCAACGTATGAATGTCTTTCCAAAACCTTTTTCAACCTTTTTCGTTATGGCCCTGGTGATTTTTAGGTCAGGAAATGTTTCGAAATTTGGGCGAAAAAAGTCAAAATAATATCACTGACAAAAAAGTTTAAAAAATGACGTTGAAAATAGTCTTGAAGAACAATAATACTACCGTGTGTATTTCCGTACTTATTGTAACGTAAATAGCGTGAACCTAAACCTAACCAAATATTTTTACAATATTTTCCTAAATCTAATTTACTAGTTCACGTAGAATACGTTTGATTGTGTAGTAAAGTGCCAGACAATTATTAACAATTATTGACAATCGTCCTCCTCAGAGGAACATGTTTCCATCCAGAAGGTCCTCAGAGACACAGTATACATGTAACCCGCTCTGCTGACGTCTGCAGAGGGAACCTGTTCTTAGATTGTTGTTTTCCCCCAAAGCCACGTTTACCGAGGTCCGACCGCTATCTGCGCCCTCAGCTTCTCCACCCGCTGCCATTTCTAGAAAGAGAAATAAGAAACAGTTTAATTTAATTAGTTGTTTACCTTCACAATGTGTTGAAGGTGTGTGGTTTGTGGTAGAAACCACAGAAAGAATCCAGTGCTATTATTGGTTTTTGAGTTCTCAACCAGGATGGACAGGCAGGGTTAACACACGGTTTGGGCGTCTCTTTAGTTCTGCCTGATGTGAGGCTGACAGGTAACCGGTAACAGGTGAAATGTGCCCAGAGGAGAAAGCCAAAGCCAACTCAGAGCTAACGTGCTAATCCTCGCTCTGCTGGTAGAAAAATGCACTCGGCAGCAAAGACACGAGCACAAAGCACACGCGTCAACGCAGACGTGCTGGTGTGGATTTTCACCTCGGCGCCGCACAGCGGCCTCCGAGCAGCGAGCAGAAAGGTCCATTCATTGCGGTGTGACGTAAGCTAAGCAGGGCGACACACAGAGCGCTTCTCCTCTGCGGCGCCCGGGTTTGTCCTTTCTCCTTCTTTTCGCTCCTTTGTTCTTCCCGTCCCTTCGCTCTTCCACACTTACCCCCCCCCCGCCCCCTTTTAATTGCAGTGCAGTATTCATGTCTGAATGGGGCTGACCTTGCTATGACAGGTCAGATATTAGCCAATCGGCTCTGATTCACGGTGTCAGATTCTCTGTGAAGGTCGTGTGTCTCTGATGTGTTTGTGACAGGGTGTCAAGGCCGCAGACGCATGAGACGTCGGCAGCGCGGCAATAAACCTTTCTCTTCTTTCGAAGGCGAAAGACGAGGAGGCGTAGCTTAGCGTTAGCTAAGCAGCTCAAAGACTAGCGCGCCGCAACGTAGCGATATGGTGCGTTCACGCCAAAAGCGAAGCAAATTTTTAAAAAGTTTTACTCGCCCGACTAGTTGTAGGTATTTCACTTAATTTGCGTCCCATTTTTTTGGCGTCGTTCGCTTCTGTAAGGGGGGCGTGGCTTATCTCTGTTACTCTGTTACAGCGTCAGGCAAATTTTTCGCTTCACTCGTTTTGCGTCTAAAATTAAAATTCGCCTCATTTGCGATCGGATGCATTGACTTTGCGTGGAATCTGCTCGCACGAATAATTCGCTTCGCTTTTGGTGTGAACGCAGCACTAGTCTGCGTCTCAAAGACGACTTAGCTTTAGCTTAGCACTAGTCTGCAGCTGAAAGACAAGGCGCAGCTTAGCATTAGCCCGCAGCTCGATGAAGACGATGCGCTGCCCATCCACCTCCGCAGCCTGGTCTCCCCTTTCACCTCCTCACCGCTGAAACGACAGCAATAAGATTGAATTATCCAAACAATTCATCTGCAGAATGGAGTTTGTCAGTAATTTACTGGAGCATGCACAGGGGTGCTAGATAAATATGACTAAAGCTACGGGCTCGAGTTGTACCGTGCAAAATAACTGCATCAGCAGGTTGGCCTGAGGGGGAGGGAACCGAGATGAAGCAGACAGATGAATAAGACGGAGTGATGGAGACAGGAGGGAGGTCATCGGCCCCCTGGGGACGGGAGAGATTCAAAGATGTGTGCTGTATCAATAATGCAACGGGAGAGGGAGGCAGGACAGCCGAGCAAGAAGCATTTAGAAAAAGACAAGACGAAGGAGAAGAAGGGATCGAAAGAGGATGAAAAAGGAGGAGGAGATGGGGAGAGCGGGATGCTGTGAGGTGTAAAAAAAAAAAAAAAAAAAAGGCCACAAAGAAGCCACGGGCTGTTTGCATTGACCCCGAGCTCTCGCTCATTCGCTTCAAGGCGCTTCGATTCGTGGAGCCTCATTGACGTGATGAGAGTCTCTACACTGGCAGTCAGTCCCTGTCGACACCTGTTCACCAGCCATTGGCCAATTTAAGAGGGTTTTTGGAGCGTTTTTCCATCCTTCTGTTGCCATGAACGACATTGATGAGAAATAAAACAATTGTTGGCCGTAAAGTCAAAACAGGTGGCTGAAAAACACGGAAACGCTCCGTAAAACGGAAAATGAATGTATATTATTAGTTGGTGCAGCTTTAAGTAAACGATCTATTGCTCTCTTTCTGATTTACACATATAATAAATGTAAAATTGTGTATATTAGATTTACAGAAGAAACAAAATCTTTCCTCAACTTTTATTTCCGACCAGACATAAACATTACAAGAACATCTTCACCGTTCTGAGTAATATGACAAATGACAAATTTGATTAGCAGGTGGGGAAGAACTTTCTACTCCGCCGCCCTGCGGCCATCGATTTATTCACTTCCACCAACGCAGACTGACAGAAAAATTGTTTTTTTGTGCTTTATTATTCAGCTATTGCCCTGCAGCATTTTACAAAGCAAAAGGAAATGCACGCACACACACACGCACACACACAGACGTGAACTAGAATGTGGTACCTCACAGTTAAAGGAAGTGTGTCTTTGTTGATATCACTTTGTCCTTTCACCATCTGCTCGAGACATAAAGCTAGAAACCTGCAAACCTGACTCACCCCCTGAATACATTCATTTCAATACACTCACACACACACACACACACACACACACACACACACAGACAGACACACACACAGTATGGTTGAGGTATGAAGGCAGACGGGTGATGAAAACCCAGCAGGGTTTATTGTAATTGTATTTCCACTCTGTTCATTATCAAGTGTCTTAGTAGAAAAGCCCTTTTATAGGAGGTTTTGTGACAGCGGGATGCGACTGACTCAGCGAGGGAAGAAATCCACCATATAAAAAATCCTCATCATATAAAAAAAGAGGATGGTCTGAAAAGGGGATGAATGTCAGAGGGAGGTTTATTTATTCATTAATTTCTTTTCTTCAGGAAACTTAGTTTGGAATATTTACTGGTATCTAGTCATTACTGCACAGTTCATTTAAAGCAATCGCTGTGTTTTTTGCTTTTTATTTTGTTATTATTATCGTACGTTTATTTCCACTTTATTTTTTGTTGTGTTTTATTGTGCGTTGTTTTTGTATCTGGGTTTGGGGGTGTGGGCGGTTATCCTGTATGTTGAGTGCTGTTCTGTTCATGTATCCTGTATCAACTGAAAATAAAAATAAAAACATGTAAAATATACTCAAATCTCCTCAATTATGAAAAAATTGAGGATGTCATGTGAGGGGGTTTTGAGTGGATGGATTATTAAAACTCGCTGGATAAACTCAAACATTTAGTTTAAACACTTTCTTTTGCTGTTGTACATTATTAATTATTATTATTAGTTATCTTGATTCATTTTTTAAAACCAAAAACGAGGTGTTGAATCTAAATTACAATCCCATGTTGTAAAGATTGACTCTGGTGGGACCGTAAGAACAAACTGAGATGGAACCGGCGTGTGTCACGTGTGTCACGCGTGATCTACGTGTCGCCTGAGAAGTCGGATTCCATCGAGTCACGACTCAATGGCTCAAAGCGAAGGTGACGTCGCTAATTGGGACAGAACCAATCAACGCGCCGTGTATGGCGCTCAGTTCCCCAGCGCCAGTGTGTGTGTGTGTGTGTGTGTGTGTGTCTCTGAGTGTGTGTGTGTGTGTGTGCTTGTCAACTCGAACACTTGGTGTGTTGACAAACTCTTCGCTCCAGTCGTCTTCAGATCCTTTAATAATGTCTGTTGCCTTCGTAACGCTCCGTTGATCTGGTGTCCAACCTCCGACCAGTAACTTAATTATGTTTCTAAATCCACCACTTGTTGCTCATCTTCAGCACAATGTGACACTTTAAACAAAGACATAACAGAAAATATTAGTGTAACTGGTTTCTGACATCTTGAATCTTTCTGTGTGTCACAATGGAGTTTCTTTCATCTTAATTTAGGACTTTAGTTTCAGAGGATTTGTTCTCCATGGTTATACGATTTTATTCTGAAGTATATCACAGTTTCTCTTAAATTCATGGCTCAGATATCCAGATTTCTACCCATAATTGTGTGATTTTAATCTCGGAGGAGATCCCAGGTTGTCTCTAACGGACGTCCTCGTCTGGACTGTGTGTTGTCCACCAGGAGGGCGACTCTCTCGGGGCGATGGAGAAGGTTTGTCGCCAGCTGACGTATCATCTGAGCCCCCACTCTCAGTGGAGGAGGCAGGGCCTCCTGAAGAGGAAGCCTCAGGCCTGGTGAGTGAGTCTCTTTGCCTTTTGATTCCTCTCTCAAATGGTCGCCGTCTTCATGGTGTTTTTTTTATCCGTCGTTTTATGTTTGTGTTTGAGCGGGACTTTCACTCGCTCAAAGCCATTCGCGTTCACCTCGTGAGGGCGGGAGCTCTCTTCCTCTTGTCTCCTGCGTGGTGTGGAAACCTCATTCTGAAGGTCACAACGTGACCGAACAAAAGCTTTTAATGTATAAAGCAGCGTTACGCACACGCAAAGCAGTCACGATAAAACCAACAATTCACCCAATAAAACAGTTCTGTGTATGATGTGCAAAATGATTTCTTATTACCTCCAGGTGAAATATTTAAAAGTGAAGACATTACTGTTTACAGATGATGAACTGCTTGAAGCCTCCTCTGCTTTACGGTCTGCTCGCCTCAAATGGACCATAGTTTTTTGTGTGGTTGTGAACGGTGAAAAACAAAGCAGCATTGACAAGGCAGAACAACTGCTCCTTTCATTGTGATCTACAAGTTCCTCTCAGTGGTTTGAACTGAGGCAGCTTCACAGACCCCCACACACCCACCAAGGTCTGAGACCCCTGCAGAGAAAACTGAGGAAAACAATGTGACGGCAGATATTCTCGTGGGAGTTACTTTTAGCAGAGCGTGGACGCAACGTCTCTCGCCAGGAAGGAAGCAGCTTTTATTTGCTGGACGTGAAGCGCGAGAAAGAAGACAAGAAAAAACGCAAATATCACAACGTATATAAAACGGATCCTAGAATATCTCGCGAAAAGTGTCTCATTGTTCTCTGGGAACCATTAACAGGAAGTTAACGTACTTGGACAAAGGAGGAGTGACATAGAGACACAGTTAGCCCCGCCCTAAAGCGTCCCCTATTTATGGTCTGTTTGACTCTAAATGGACAACAATTGACTAAATTATGATTATCATGTTGTGTTGAAGAAGCTTTCAAACTAGAGACTGAGACCATAAACTCATGTTTACAACGTTTACTGAGGGAATAAATCAAGAGAGAAGTAGAGTCATTGTCTCATAGACGTCTATGGGAGCAGAGGAGTCGCCCCCTGCTGGTCACTACAGAGAAGTAGAGTCATTTTCTCATAGACTTCTATGACCAGAGGAGTCGCCCCTGCTGGTCACTACACAGAATGCAGCTTAAACACACAAAGCTTCAATACAACTGGGGGTAGCAGCGTTGCTGGAATTAGTAAACTGGCTAACTAGCTGGCAACCAGTTAGCCAGCAGGGTTGCTAATTACACAATTCTTTAATCCTGTACGTCCTGTACAGGGTACAGATAAAGTGTGACTTGTTATCTTGTGCTTTCCTACGATTGAGTGTGGGTGAAGCTACATGGCTGCCAAACCTTCCTCAGTGGGTAACGACGGTCGGTATGGCAACTACACATGAAAATGGCTGCCACTCTGACCCGCTCTGTTAATTCAAACGGAAATTTCTATTTCTAACATTTTCATCTGTGTGTGCCCCCCCCACCCCACCACCACCACCAGTACCAAGGTAGTTTATACATCTCTCATGACTTCATGCTGCCGGAGGGAAAATAATGAGGCCTCGCCGAGGTTAGATGACCGCCCCATGACCTGCCAATATGATCGCTAATTGTGTTCATGACCCTGCCCCCCCTTCCCCTCCCCCCACTGTGCCGTGCCTGCGTCTTGCGACGGGAAACGTTGGTATTGGAAATGTTCTATTGCAGGGTTATAATCATTGAAGTCAGAGTCATTGATTGGCTGCGCACCTCTCACGGGAACTTCTTTGCATCCCAATCGGCTCCTTGAGGAGGAAGTTCAGTATGATATTTTATTGAAGCACGAGGAGGCAATGAAAGCTTTACAGAATAACCGATGCAGAGTAACTAAAACTGTAACGAGGTTACTGTTCTTATTATTCTTTCCATTTGAACTCCAGATGGAAGGATCCAATGACAGTACTGACGTGAGTCAATCAGCTGATATTGGGAAGAAACTCAGCGTTCTGAGCAGGTTCTGTGTATTGAAGCTGCATTCTGTGTAGTGACCAGCAGGGGGCGACACCTCTGGTCCCACAGACATCTATGAGAAGATGAATCTACTTCTCTCTTGATGTATTCCTTCTTCAATAGAGCAAATTGAGTCAAATAGAGCGGTATATAATAACCAAGAATTAACGTTGGGGTGACTACAGTTAGCTACATTAGCATCTTTAGCACGGCGATAGAGTGACTGACTCAGCACCTTTTGAACAACACGTTACCTTCAGCTGTGGAACCGGACTAACACGTTTTGTTTTATCACCATGTAGGCCTTCACATCTCCAAAGGGTTTATTCAATAAACTACAAACATTTCTTATTAGTCGCAATAGATTCAAAGCTTTTATTGAGATTTAATGGCTTTAAGGCGGCAGATTGGCAGATTTTTATGAGGAAAAAGCATCTTTTTAAATGGTCCTTTACAAAAGAGCTTTTTCTCTTGCCTGGTGATGTTTGAATAGGTGTTTTAAACGCTTCTGTCTATTCTCCTTCACAGCTCCTGCTTTCCTTTTGTCTTCCTCTATTTTAGCTGCTCCGCGGCGTTTTAATACGACGCCCTGCTGCTTTCCTGGTGTCACCGTGCACGAAAAGGGACTTCTCCATTTATTTCAGTCCTACTTGTTCATCACAGAGAGCGCTGCTGTTTTCACAGATGGTTGAAATATTAACGCGGCCCGTAACAGACTGGAGATCGGGACGTTTTGAGATGAATCTGATTGCTTTAAAAGCATCTTTTGTCTCGTCCTCTGAATCCGTCCCCTCGCTCTTTGTAGAGGCTTTGCAGTGACACCAGGGCCGTAAAACAGCAAAACATTGCTTCTAAAAATACACACCAGGTCGATGCGCTTGGATCTGAACGACCGGGTCTCACAGGGCTTAGAAGGAGAAAAGAACAGTCCAGATGTTGAACTTGTGTTCCTGCCCACGCCGCCCAAAGTCATATCCAGTATTGTGTCAAAGCATAAATATTCAAATGTGACCTTCAGCTGTGTGACCCGGGTCGTCTGCTTTAAATGCACCACATTGTGACTGGTGTTGATTCCACCAGTGACCTCCTGCGGTGTCACACCCCCCCGGGCGGCGACACGAGGAGCAACTCCTCTTGGTTCCTGTGGAGCTCTGGGGATGTTCATCATTTAGTTATCTACCAGTGATAGTTAGAGAAATACAGTTTTAATTTCATTCGTCCATCTTCAACCGCTTATCCAGGGTCGGGTCGTGGGGGCAACAGCTCCAGCAGGGGGGGGCCCCCGTCGGCCGATCTCCCCTCTTTGTACCGCAGCAGGGTGTCAGCGCCTGAACCCTCTCGGTCCTGGTTCTGGTTCTCCCGGGGCCTCCCTCCCCCCCAGCAGATCCAGCACTACGTCCCGAGGAGGAGGAGGAGGGGGAGGATGAAGAGGAGCTGCTGGGAGCTGAGCCCCCCCCCTCCTTCCACCGGAGCCGCCAACCGGCAGCAGATTTCAGCCCTTTAAGCTCCTCCCCCTCTCCGGCGGATGCCGGGCCTAATCGATGTATGAACGAGGCTCCCATTTATTCCCATCAACCCTTTGGAGTCCCTGAAGGAGTCCTTGTGCCCCCCCTCGCCCAATGCTTCCTCGCGTGGGTTTGACGGTAACACAGAGGGTTCTCTCACCTTCACACAGCAAAAACACAGATATGCTTCTAATTAAACGTGAAAAGAACACTCTGTGTAAACGCCCCCGGGCCCCCTCCCTCCCCCGCCGCTTCATCCACACGCAGCGCGCGTCCTCCTTCTCACCTGGACTCAACTTGTGCGTCACGAAAGCAGTGGGCGGCTTCTCGTCTCCGTCTGTCTCCGTCTGGACGCAGCAGCAGTGAGAGCTGAGCTAAAAGCAGCCCCCTTTTGTTTTGGGGGGGGTTGGAGATGTGATTACGGCGGAGGAGGAGGAGCTTATGAGTCACGGGGGGAGAGGTCACATGCGTGGTAGGTGGCGCTACGCAGGTCGCCAGCTTCCAGCTACAGGAGGTTCATACTGATTTCTCAAAGAACAAAACTTTAAAAAATCAGATGTCGAGATTTTAAAGATTAAAAGAAGCACGTGCAACTCTTTTCGATGGCGTCAGTGTGAAGTTGTTTTACTCACCGGGTCAGAAACGAGATCACCTCCTTTTTTTCACCACAAACTAGATCAGGACCAGTGTCCGATCCCTCGATTCTCCCAGATCCATTTTTTATCCAAACCATCTTTCCCTGAAGCTTTATTGTCTTTATTAAACCTAAATAATCATTTAAAACTCTTCCTTTATCGGTCCAAACTTCACTGTCCATAAAAAACGGTGCTGTGGTTTTGAATTGGGTTGAAACAATTTGGAGCGGAGGAATAAACCAGAACAAACATTGACACAGTGAAGTCGCTTCAGTAAATAAATGCCCTCTAGGGATCAATTCAACTCGTTTCACTATCGGAGTAGAAATGGAGAAATGCATCATGGGGGTTTCTCAGGCTCTCTTTACCCGTTGGTGTCCGTCTCCAGCCTGAAGGCGGTGCTGTCGTCGCCCCTCTCCAGCGGCGCCTTGGACCTGTCCGGCATCCCGCTGGCGCCCCGGGACGCGGAGCGCCTGTGCGCTCACCTGCGGCGCCACGCCCCCGCCGTGGTCAGCCTGGAGCTGGGCTTCAGCGAGCTGACGGACGAGGCCTTCCTGCTGCTGCTGCCCACGCTGGCCGCCCTGCCGCGCCTGGAGACGCTGGCGCTGAACGGGAACCGGCTGACCCGCGCCGTCCTGAAGGAGCTGACCGACGCCCTGAAGGTCGGACGAATTCTCACACCGTGTTTTGTGTGTTTCTGATCATCGACCTGAGCGGATCCTCTGGTTTCGCGTCAAACCAGGAAGTAAAAAAAAAAAAAGAAACAGAATTCTTTATTCCAAAGGCAAAGTCTTGGTAGCCAATCAGAGTCAAGGCGAGAAGGTTGATGTTTCTCATGTTTTTGGTTTCCTCCCCAGGACCCGAGGACCTTCCCCAGCGTGACGTGGATCGACCTGGGCAACAACGTGGACATCTTCTCCCTGCCGCAGCCCTTCCTGGTCAGCCTGAGGAAGCGCTGCCCCAAGCAGGGGAACCTGCCCACCATCCTGGAGTTCGGAGAGAGTCAGGCCAGCGAACCCCCCGAGAGGCCGAGGGGCCTCGGGGGGGAGGAGGAGGAGGAGACGGACGACGCCAACCGGACGGAGAGCATGGGCGAGCTGCGGTCGGAGGTGGAGGAGGAGCTGGACGGGGAGCTGGAGATCGAGGAGATGATGGAGGAGCTGCTGGACTTCGACAGGGAGGCGCAGGGGAAGGACGAAGAGGACGAGAGCATGTGGACGCTCGGCGAGCAGAGAAAGGAGGGGAGGAGGAGGAGGTGTTGTAGAGGGAAGGAGGAGGAGGAGGAGGAACAGACGGCGGCGGCCGGCGGGAGAGCGGTGATGGCCGACGACGACTCCTCCCACCTGTCCTGCTCCAGCCAGTCGCAGCGCTCCTCTGGTGCCACGGAGCCAATGAGAGCAGAGGAGGCCGACGACTCGGAGGAGGCGGCGACGGACCGATCGGGTCACCTGACCTGACCGCTGCTCCTCCCTGACCCGCTCACGCGCCCCCCGCCCGCCCTCCGCGTCGAGGGCTGCGCGTGAGGAGACGAGAGGACGTCAAAGAGGTCGGGGAGGAGGCGGACCCACGGCAAGGCGCCGCCTGAGGCTCGGGGATGCTGACGCCGGGAGGCCGGGACACGGAAAAGGACGGAGGACGCTAACGCTAGAATAGACCGGCTACATCACACGAGGCTTTTATGTATAGAATCTTTATTCAGGTCCTGCTCCTCCTGGTAACCGTGGCGATACCTTCATGTGCCTGTGACGCGCGTCCCGTGTTGTTGAGAGATGAGAGAGAGAAAAAGACACAAAAACTATCCAGGGCCCTTTAAAAGCGGGTTTTTTGCTAAAAACTCAGTGATTTGGATGTTTTCCTCCCACGTCGGCCAGATGGAGCAGAAGACGGGAATCAAGGAGGCGAGCGCTTCGGTGGAAAACCTGCTCGTTTATGAGAGTAAGAAAGAAGAACAGATGCACCGAGTTTCGGCGGAGGAGAAGAAATCAGCTGAAATCAAAAGACATAAAAGGTGTTGAAGGAAGAATATCCGAGGATTGTGAGGAGAGCAGTAAGAAAGTGGAGGGATGAGATTATTTTATTCCCAAAAGAAAGTGCAGATTAGTCGCCTTTTCCCTTATAATCATCTTTCACTTGTGCTCACGTGTTTATATATCAACTAACCTCAGTATGTAGCCTCCCCCAGCCGGAGCTTTACCTTCACCTGCGTCACTTATAGTCCAATGCAAAGCTTTAACAAACAGTATATTTGGATGTACAGTACGTGAAGTATGATGCTTTTTATCCGTGCGGGTGGAAGACATTTCGATGGAAGATCATCTATCTAAAGACGAAAGACACACGAGAAGCAAGGTGTTATTTTTGTAGTGTGGGAGTAGTTTAATCTATATACAGGATTTATGTCTTTAAATGTTGGGAGAAATGTGAACCAGGATCTTCATGTGTGAAATTATTATTATTATAAAAATGCACCGAGAGGAAACGTTTGACTGGAACGGACAGGACGGACACACGTAATGTTAAAGGCAGTTAAAAATGAATGCGTTTGCCCCACACAGCTGCAAAAATGTGAGGCATGTAAAGACAGCTGAGCTGATTTCCCACTACACGTCGTGTTAACGCGTCACGGATCCGCGATACGAAATTGCCAAAGTGTCCCTTCAAGTTGCGTGGCTCATTTTGGGGGAGAGTCCAACCGAACAGACGCTGCACCACGTGTCCTCGCATTTAACGCATATTAGACAAGGAATCTGACAGGTGGAATGTAGCGAGGTCATCGAGCGTCACGTTGCAGACCATCAAACGCAACAACACTCAGAAACTTAGAAACTCAGAGGAAATGTCTCAATAAGTGTCAATTCAAATGACTTGTTATTTGGATTTGATCTCAAAGGCTCGGATGCCGTTTGCATATATCTGAGCCACTATTAAGATTTAAAGACTTTTAGAACTTTTTCTTTTCGTACTCTCGCCTTTTTTTTTGAGATTGCAACCCTTTAAAGCTGCTGTGTGCGGAATGTGGCGCCATCTAGTGGTGAGGCCGCAGAATGCAACAAAGTGTCTTTGTCAGGTTTGACCTCTTTGGGCTTCCTTAGCAGCATGGTAAAGGGAACGTGTCCCTTAAAATGTTATGTCCTATATAGATATAGGACATAACATTTTTTGGCAACGGGGCCAAAGGGTCTTATATATTCAGGGTATTATACACTAAAGAAAAAGGAATAGTTACAATAATTAATATTATATTCCATTGCCGCTGATAGATTCCCCTAAAGGCTTCACGCCGGCCCTTTTCAGCGGTTTGAACACGTCTTCACGTGGCTCATCACTTAGCCTGCCCGGTACCAGCAAGACCCTTTGAACAGACGCTCAATAGGACGGGGGGGGGGGTTGTCCTTGAACGCCACGGGGCTTTTCTGTAATGGAAGGTGGGCGTATCGATCGCTCAAACTAAATATCAAACTTATATTGCATATTCATGGATTACTTTATTTATTTAAAACAACAACTGTGAGGAGGCAGTTTTAAACTATTTTAAAGAACATATTTCAAACTGTTTGATTTGGCTGCAATAGATTTACTAAAATGAAGATTTTCAAGTCCCCCTGCAATTAAAGCATTTAAAAAACAAATTGCTCTTCTTTGTTTAATCCCTAAAAATCTAAATAGTGCTTCGGTGCAGACTGAGCTTTGAGCGCCGACCCCTTTGAGCTGTAACCCGTCACAGGAGTCCTGACCTGGACGTCACGCCTCGTGTTCGCGCTCGTCTGCTTTAATGTTAAGGTCACACTGCAAGTCAAAGCTGAGCGATCACAGCTGGAATTCCATCAACACAGATTCTGGCTCTTTTGATTCGGGAACCTTTGATACGAAAGATTCGGCGCAGTTTGATCTTAAACTGGTTGGGGGACGAGAACCCGGAGCGATGGATCTGCACTTGGATCTGGTTGCTTTGCTAAGCCCCGCCCCCCTTTGGATACGGTTGCTAAGAGCTTCAACAATATCAGTGATGTTCTAAAGTATCGTTCTCGAAATAGTAGAGAGTAGTACGGTAAATGGCAACATTACATAGTGGAGAACAACATTCACAGTGTGGAGGAGACGTTAAAATAAACTGCAGCTATAAATCAATAAATGTTCAGACTCCGATTAGCTTTCATTATCTAACATTATCCAGGCTGACCAGGAAGGGCTGCGGCAGCGAGAAGATGTCCACGTTGTTGCATTTGCTTCACTTTTCAGAACCGGTTGCATAAAGCAAATTTATGGTTGCTAACAAAGGACAGTTGGACAGTGAGAATTTGAGGGAGGGGCTTACACAGAGGGATGCTTTCATACAATACAGTAAAAGATGACATCACAAGTGTGTTAATCTTGATCTCATAGAACAGGAGGACCTATTATTACTACATGTGAAGATGTTTGTGTTACTGAAAGACTCTATAAACAAAAAAACATGCTAATGTGAATCTGAAGGAACGAAGTGTAGCCTTGGGCCTTTGGCCTCCCTATTTTCAATATTTATTTCTAAATCTACAGTACACCTCTGTATTATTCTCCTGTGTGTCTTCTTCTGTCACCTCCCTTTTCCCTTTAGACCCATTGGATCGCTGTTGTTTCAGTGCCACTTTATAGCGGGGACTGACGAGAAGGCTCTGTGCGTTCTTTTACTGATTGAGTCGTAAACTAGCATTTTCTGTTCTGCCACGGACTCCAATAAATTCTACGAGACAAAAACACATCCTGCATTTACTGTGTTTGAATATTATGACTGCTCAAAGTATCCGGGCTATACATCCAGAGTTGGCCCCCGACAGTTAATCTATATAATTATAATAATATGATAGTTAGTAAACCATTAATAAATATGTGTTAACCATCAAGTCCTTGGTATTCTGTCTCTAACATGCATACATGTTTTTATTTACTAATACTTACCCTTTATTAAATCGATAACATATTTTGAGGGAAACGTGGCGACCATCAAACCGCATATAGTGAAATAGTTTTTAAAGGTTTTAAATGACGTTGGGCTGACACCTGGTGGCCGTGCTTGAGAATTGCATCCAGGCTGCTGTCTACCGGGTGAAATGTGCTACATAACGTTAGATTCTTTTTCGAAAGCTTCTAAATGTTTGAGTAAACAAAACGTAAAGTCCGTGCGTGTCATCGGCGCGACAACAGCACTGCTGGAAACGAATCGACTTTATGTTTCACAACAAACCAGCGTCATAAAGGACAAAGCTGTCAAGTTAAGAAGAGTTCACAAGAAGCGGAAAACAGATCTACTTCAGAATAGAAGCGTTAACATTTCTACACTTTTGAAAAAGTAAATAAACACCACAGTATTAAATAATTGTTATAAAACGAAGCCCACCTATTTCATTTGTGTAATGTAATTATATTTAATAATCACGCGCTTCTACCCATGAGCAGTACAATGGTGCATCGCTCAAAACGGAAGTTTTACGATTCCGATTTAGCCCGAAGCTAACGCTTCGGGCGCACATCATTCTACGTCACATCCGGCGAGTGAGGTCTTTCTTTTTTGGTTTTCCCGTATCCGCCATTTCGGTTTTTTGAAGTTAGTTGTCATCGGCCGCTGCATTGTAGCTGGAATTCCGTCGTTTAAAAAAACCGGCATTTCATCACAATCGCGGCTGGATCGCGGCCGACAAGCAGATAAGGTCGCTTTTCATTTCCGGGTTGCGGTTCTGTGACGCGGGTTTGATGTCCGAACGGGCGGCTGCGGGTGTCGCCTGTTTACCAAACGTGCTCTTAAGGCGCTAAAGTTTTTTTTTGTATGAGTTGAAGGCTTCGCGCTGTGGATACCGGGAGGGAGCGGGAAGGCCTGGCGACGAAGCCTCGGCTTTTGGAGTGAGGAGGAGGAGGAGGAGGAGGAGGGGGGCGGTTTATTTTATTTCATTCAAAATAAAAAAATAATAATAATGGCCGGGAATTTTGACGCGGAGGACCGCGGCAGTTGGTACTGGGGTCGGCTGAGCAGGCAGGAGGCGGTGTCCCTGCTGCAGGGGCAGCGGCACGGCGTGTTCCTGGTCCGGGACTCCATCACCAGCCCCGGCGACTACGTGCTGTCGGTGTCGGAGAACTCAAAAGTCTCGCATTACATCATCAACAGCATCAGCAACAACCGGCAGTCTGGTCCAGGTGAGGAACACTAGTGGGGCCGGGGCGGGGGGGGGGGCGGGGATGCTGATGGGACCGGTCTTGCACCAGAAACGGATGCGCTATCGTCAGTGTGGTCACTTGCAGTTGTAATACAACACACACCGGCCCGGTGGATCACCGATCGGTGCACGTGTGTGTCACTAAGAGGAATCGTGGTGGCTGCTGGGAGTTTTTTTTTTTTTTAAATAGCAGTGATTTCTATGAACATCCCCAGCTGCCGTGTTAAACTGTAACGGTTAAGGCCACGTGATCAGGGGGCTCCTCGGCTTGTAATTCCTGCTGGGATTTTTTCACTCGAGATTATTTTAATCTTTAACTATTTTTACATGAATGTACAGGAAAGAGCAGCGTGTGTGATGAGAAATGACATCACGTGGTCACGTTCCTCCCTCCTCACCTTCCCAGGTTCCGCCCAGCCGAGGTTCCGCATCGGCGACCAGGAGTTCGAAGCCCTGCCCGCTCTGCTGGAGTTCTACAAAATCCACTACCTGGACACCACCACTCTAATAGAGCCCATCAACAAGTCCAAACACACCTCCTTCATCGCCGTGGGCCCCGGGGGGGCCCCGCCCCGCCTGGAGGACGAGTTCGTCCGGGCGCTCTTCGACTTCCCCGGCAACGACGAGGAGGACCTCCCCTTCCGGAAGGGCGACGTCCTGCGGGTGCTGGAGAAGCCGGAGGAGCAGTGGTGGAACGCCCAGAACTCTGAGGGCCGGGCCGGGATGATCCCGGTGCCCTACGTGGAGAAGTACCGGCCGGCGTCCCCGGGTTCGGCCGGCGGTGGCAGTGGCGTACCCTGCGGGGGGGCACCGGCGCTGCCGCCGCTGGGAGGGGCCGGGGCACTGGGGAACTCAGACCCCCAGTCCGGCGCCCCGCTGCTGGGAGACCCGAGCCAGTACGCCCAGCCCACCCCCCTCCCGAACCTGCAGAACGGACCCGTCTACGCCCGGGCCGTTCAGAAGAGGGTGCCCAACGCCTACGACAAGACCGCGCTGGCCCTGGAGGTAAATATGGCCTCCGCCGTGGCACTCTTTCTCAGTGTTACTGGAGCCCCCCAGTGATGATATCTGACCGTCACTGGGGGGCTGATTCAGGGCTTCTAGCCGGTTGCACCTGTGCATCAGGATCATATCTGAGTTACTCGGAGGTCTTTAGGATGCGTCCTCGTCCTTGGGTCCGTGTCTCTTGTCAGCTGAAAGAAGCTGTGTTGTTGTTGTTGTTGTTTTTAGTCGTGCTGGGTCCGTAGCCCCTCTGAGGCTCTCTCGGCGGTTAGCAGTGACTCAGCAGGGGACAGTTAATGATTTAACCACATTTCCTTCTGACCGGCGGTGTAGATGTGAAAGAACCAAACCTCCAGTTACTCTTGAGTTTAATTACGCGGTGAATAACGTCGTGAGCAAAAGCTTCTGTGGCCCTTTGAGGTTTTTATTCATAATGACCAGAGGACGGATGTGAATCTTCACCTTCTAAGAAGCTGGGAACCAGGAAATGTTTCTCATGGTTTCTTTGAAGTTGATCTGAATAATGGCTGATGGAATTGTGATCGATTGATCTGATTCTGTTCACCTTCACGTGTTTGCTTCAACTGTTCTAAACATTCCTTTTAGCGATGACGGGATTCAAGTCACGAATACGTCACACTTTGCAGCCGCACTCATTCTAATACAGTTGTATTTAAAAATGGTTTCCCATTTTGCACAAACCTTCTCAATGAAATGAGTCAATAAAAGAAAGGGGCTGTAGAATCGCGCCGCCCTTTGCTGAGCAGGAAGTTTGTCCCGACTGGGAAGCGGGTCATCAAACTCCCGGCTCGCCGACCTTTGGAGCCGTCCGTTAGTTCCTCGTTTGCTCGGGTTCGTTGACCCCTCGGTTAGTCACTCACCTGGTGCTCGTTGGTTTCTCTTTCTACGCATGGTGAATGTGCATTTTGTGTCTCTGTGTGAGGCTCCACCTCGTACTTCACCTCGATCCCACACTGTGGATGAGCGGTGACGTAGTCGTGGTGACTTCACTCATCGGTTTGCCGCCGGGTGCTTTTTTTTTAGGGGCCGGTGAACACGTCGTGACCGCGGAGGACGTAGAGACACCGCATACAAAGATTCATTTCAGCACTGCAGAGCGCACCTGAATATGAGCCACACCACCGAAATTTGGAAAGAAAAGAAAATATGTACATATAAAAGCTGCATGTATCCACGTTGTAACATGAGATATTTACACAGAAGGATTTTTGATTATTTTTAATTACCGGAAATAATTGTATTTTTAGAAAAAAGTGCCTGTAACACGACACTAAACCTGCAGTAATACGGCCGAAAAACAACAATGAACCTGCAGAAAAAGTGCGCTGGCGATTGTTTTGGCTTTCAGTCGGATCTGCGCGGTGGAAACGCCTCGGCCGTCTGCTCTCTGTGTGTTCTCCCAGTCTTCAAGTTGGGTCCTTCTGCTTTTATTTCCTCTGGAAGCTTCTGTCGTCTTTTTCCATCGAGTAAGTTCTTCACATTGCGTCTCCAACGTCTCACCGTTGATTCATTAATGTTTACGTGTTTCTTTCTCCCGACAGCCAGATGTGTTTCCTCTCTTTCACGCAGTCTCTCTGTCTAACTAAAGATGTCTGTCTCTTTGTGGTATTTGAACGATGATGGTGATAATGAATCTCCCCCCTCCTCCCCCCCCCGCAGGTGGGCGACAGGGTGAAGGTGACCAAAATAAACGTGAATGGCCAGTGGGAGGGTGAATGTAAAGGCAAGCGGGGCCACTTCCCCTTCACGCACGTCAAGCTGCTGGACCATCACAGCGCCGAGGAGGAGCTCAGCTGAGAGCGGCCGGGTCAGGCCGCTACCTGGACACTAGTATTAGACCCCTCCCCCCCTCCGGCCCGCCTCCCTCCCCTCGGGGCCTCACATCCTCTCCAGGTTTTACAGTTTCACTCGAGAGCGGACCCTTTATACCCCCCTCTGAGTAACCACGCCCCCCCCCTCGCTCCGACTGATGTTCTCCACGCGGTCTGGATCTCCTGTTTCATCGCCGTGGCAACGCCCCCTTCTCGCGTGCTGCGTCTGCTCTCACAGGTGCTGTTAATGCAGCAGATTGACTTCATTTTCTTGCCAAGAGTTGCGATGAGAAGAGCGATACACCTCCGGGTCTGTGCAGCAGTTTGCATTTGGACAGATGCAGATTCATGCTAAGCTAAGCTAATATATTCACTACAAAACAAGAGAACCTCATCAAGCTTCTCATTTAACTGGGCCAGAAAGTGGATAGGAAGAATAATTCCTAACCTTTTCCTTTCCTCCTGATGGGCTTGTGTCGCTCTGATTCAACACTAATATCTTCTTATTGTCGACGTCTTCATTCAGTCAATTTAAGACACAAAATCACAACTAATATAACTCGGATAGGTGGGTGTGAGCGACGCCTACTATTCGAAGATCAAAACGATGTTCTGTGTTTACCTCCTCCGTCAGCTGAGCTTAAAGCCTGAGCAGACCAGCAGCACACTACGTTTTATCGATCATCCCATAAATGAACCGCAGAATGTGGCCACCTGAAAGTAGCAGCATTAGCTCCTCGTTCTAGCCTCCTGGCATCGTACTGGACACCGGTTCACTGGAGATTAACCCCGAGCCGTGGAGGAGCTCTCATTGGACGGGAACGCATCATCGGCCACGACGAGGGCGACAACGCGAGGACGTGAACTCCTCCTGGAGGAGAGAACCAAATGTGACACGGGGAAAATAAGAACTGACCGGAGACCAGCAGAACTTTTAGCTCAGCCTCCTCCTCTGACACCGAGTAGTCTTTTGTAAGAACAGAGAAAACCCCACAAAAAGAGGAACAAGACGCACGATGTGATTATCATTACATGCTAAAACATTCTCATTTTCTACTGTTCTTCATAGCAGATGTTGTCCGGTTTGAGATGTACGCGTTTTACTGATGCATGCTGGGGGGCGTCGATGGTTCAAACGGACTGCAGGATGTCTGGAGGGGTGCACATCTGTTGCCCCCCCCCCCCCCCCCTCCCATGGCCCCCCATGGGTTCTCCCCCTGGGGCCGGCAGCCATTTTGGTTCGGGGCGGCTTCCCCCCTTTGGGGGGGGAAACGGGCCTGACGATTTTATTTGGGCCCTGACCTTTGACCTTTTTGAAAATCCCCTCCCCCCGGTAAGTTCCTTTAATCCCCCCGTTTATCCCCCCCTCCCTTTTTTTAAAGCAAACCAGGGCTCTTTTTTTTCCCAAACCACCTTCCGCCGTGTCTTTAAAAATTACCTCGGGATCAAGGTCCCCCCCGTTTCTGTTCTTAAACGCCGGAAAACCCCCCCCCCCCCCCCCCCCCCTTCGGACGTCACGTAGAATATATTTATGACCAACACACCGTGTCGCCTTCAGGTGTCACTAACAACATTCACAGAGATATGTTTTTTTTCTTTTACAGAATGCTCTTATTCTTCTTATGAGTACGGTGTTTTTAAAGGTGTAATAATGCCTGATTCCACACGTTGACCACAGGACGAGCTCGTCGTTTCGTTTCAAACTTTGCCCCTTTCAAAATGGTAAAATTTTATTTTTTTTTAAACTTTCTGGTCTGAGCAATATGGAGAAAATCACATTGTATTTTTGGGGATTGTCACATGATTGTCACATGTGAGGACCGATCGAGCAGTACCTCACTTTACTGGGACGCAGCCTTTGAATCCAGGACAATAAAAAATAAAAATCCACTACAATATTTAACTCGATATCACGGTATTGATACATCAACATATCGGCCATGTGATCAAATCCAGCTTCTTTGTCTCTCACACTTTACACGGCAGCTGCTCAGCTACATCAATCATTACCTTTTTATAAATGACATTACCAAGGAAACCAACACAAAGTATTTTAATTTTATTTCTTAGGAGCCTGGCACTAAGTCATTTATTAATTTCCTGTCATAAAGAGGAACAGGTGGCAAAAAGGAAAATGCCAGTGAAAATTGTTTTAATATCAAAATGTGCCATTTTATTATAACACTATATTCTTTCAAGACAATTGAAATTACCGTTTTATTTTCTGTAGCATGTAATGTGTTAATATACTAGTAAATAAAGTCAAACCAATGACAAATGAGTTGTTAAATGTATGGGCTGTTCTTTTGGTAAAACGGATGACGAATGTTTTAACCGAACCAAACAAACCTTTTCATTCTTGCTGCACAGTTGCTTAGCTACAGAAATGATTGCCATTCATATTACCAGGGTTATTTTTAGTAACACCACGTGAAGCTGTATAGCTATAGTGTCAATGTACAGGCAGGGTCTGTACGGTCATGGAAAACTTGAAAAGGTCATGGATTTTGAAAATGGTCATTTCCAGGCCCATTTCATATATTGTCCATAATTTAAAGTAAGAAAAAAAAAGTATCGTTTCAGGCAGGCGGTATGTTTAAAAGGTTTTAGCACTGGTATCGAGTATCGTTTGGAGAAAAGCCCAAACGATACTCATCCATGGTGGATAAGACAGACTTTCTTGGGGCCTAATTGTAGGGGAAACACCGTGTATGCCTTGGAATTTTCATTGTTAGTTTAAATACTAGTCATCGAAATCCATTGGTCAAAATATGTATGAATCCTGTACAGGTTTAATAAAGCAAACAAGTTATAACGGTATGACTATCAGCGACGTGAAATACGCTATTGTTTAAACATAATATTTGATCAACTCCTTCATGTATCGTCAATCTACAAAACCACTTAAAACACTTTAAAGTTTAAATTTACACTTCACAGCTAAATAACAGTCAAAATGAATTGCTTGTTTTTAATGCTATTCATTAGAATGGGTAATTAATTAGCCAACTCTTAGTGGAAAATGTCTTTTGTCGTGAACCAAATGTGTTGAATGAAATAATCATCGACTAAAAAGCACCTATGCAGTAATTGATGTATTGTAATATATCTGAAAAAATCAAAAGTCAGCACAAATTAAATCCTATTTTCCTACATGTATTTATTTATTTATATATATGTACGTATGTAAACTACAAATTTATTTTGTTCTGCTTTTAAAAAAAATGTATATGTATCCATCCACACACACACGTATTCACATGTAACCGTCATTGTGGGGAAATCACCTCCGCGTGAAAGCGAAGCGGGCGGCGGCATCGGCGCTGCTGGAGATTCATGTGCGTATGTGCGGCGCTCCGGCGAGACCGGCCGCCATCTTTACTACCCATCAACTGCACATCGCTGCCGGTGGGGCGGAACACCACTCACATCATCCACCCAGTTGATTTCTAGGAACCTGGCGCACCACCGTGCTCTCTCGCCAAAGAATTACCCCGCGTTCTGACCCGTTCGCTACCCCCCCTCCGGCTGCACCTCGAACACACGATGGGAGAGCGAGAGGACCTCGTTTACCAGGCGAAGCTGGCCGAGCAGGCAGAGCGATACGACGGTAGGACGCGCTCGTGTTGTCGGGGCTTGGTGCTCGCGGGGGGACATGTTCGCCGCAGGGATTTTTTTTTTTTAAGCTAACGTTAGCTCACGTTGACGGAGCGGCGCTCAGCTAGCTAGCTCGATGCTAGCCGCGGCTAGCTGGGGGGTGGGGTGGGGTGGGGGGGCGCCTTGCTACGGCCGACGTGTTTCAGCTAACGACACACTGACATGGCAGTTGGCCTTTGTTTGTGGGGTGAAAAATCTAGAGTGACATTAAAACCAAAAATGCCATTAAAATATCTGCTTTATTTAGAAGAAGAAAAATGTACGGATGGTGGCTAACGTTAGCGAAGGGGGGGACATAACAAAATGGCGGATTACTGGAGCGTGAACTGTCAGGAGTCGCCTCCCCTGCACCACGCTAACGACGGAGCTTAACGTCTGCGCTACGGGTCCGGGGCAGCTGAAACAGCCCGTGTCATGCCCCCCGTGTACAATCACCCCGTCTCGTTAGATGCTAGGCAACTTTAACATTTGCACATTAGCCTGCTGAACTGCGAGGTTAGCTAGCGTTAGCTCCTCGCTGTGTGTTAGCGGTGAGTGGGAGGGCAGCTGTTCGCTTCAAGTGGGGTGCGCGCGGCCCCCCCCCCTCCCCCCTTCCCTCCTCCTATACGGAATCGATTGGTGAACACGACCCCCGCCCCGGTACGCTCCTGTCATACCATTACGGGCCTTGTCGAGGCTGTTTTTAGACCGGGCCGCCGTCGCCGCTGGTGAGCGCGTTGCCCGGTAACGTGGAGTGACTGTGCCATGACTCACTCCCGGGGTTTGGAGGGTATTTACAGAGTGAATTACGGGCTCCTGGCTGACCGGCACCCGCTGGAATCCGCTCAAATTGATTCTTCTTCTTTGCTGCAATACGTCATCAAACGTTAACTTGTCATTGCGGAAGACGTATTTGTACAGCGCTTCATAGATGAGGGGGGGCTATTAATACGCCAGCCTGCACGTTTTATGATTCTACAAGAGAATCCCCGCCATGAAACCATTGACACGTTTTAACCTGAGTGGTTCAGAAGCTTCCATGTCTGCAAAACACTCTTAGAATAAAGACATCTTTCATTTTCCTTCAAGGAAACCGCTCTTTGATTCTTCTGTGTGAAGCAAGTGAGTAGAGAGTCTGTAGTACAAAGATGACACACGGGATGATGAGAATAACGAGCAGTGTTTTAAGTGCTGCTGGATAAGCTGCATTTCAATTATAGATGGCCGGTGCAGGAGAGGCTGTTTGAATCCCAACCAAACCCTCACGCCATTATTGGGTCTGCATTATGACAAGACACTGTGCAAAGTGTTAAATATGGACTTAGAATAGTTAAAACAGAATTTATTGCAGATTGTGGGGACCAGGTGAAGTGTAAGACAACAATGTCGTCTCCTAAATACCAGCTGTGTCTTACTTAGACATTAAAACCAATCAATAATAAAAAAAAAGAGAATATAAGTTGTCCTTTTCAATTCTGTTCATTGATCTGATACCTGTGCATTTAAAACAATAAAAGCTAAAGATTCCTTATATAAAATGTTTTATATCGATACAAAAAGTCTTCTTCTGCATTTAATCATTTGTCACCAAAAATGAGCGTCAACAAGATCAGTTTTGGGCAAAGGCAATTTTATTTGTACAGCACATTTCAACAAGGCAATTCATAGTGCTTCACATAAAACCATTAAAAACATCCAAACATAAAGCGAGGAGATTTATAAACCGTTAAGAACATTGAAACATAAAAGAAAAACAGACATTAAAAGGATAAAACCGATTTGAAATCGAATAAAATTGTTTTTAATGTAATTTTAAGAATGTCTTTAAGAATTCCGACTTGCAGAAATGGTCGATTTGAAGGCAGCAGCAAACAGAAAAGTCTTTAATCTGGATTTAAAGGAGCTGAGGGACCCAGCAGTTGTACTCATGATACCGTTATGATTAACCACCGCCTGGTACTCATTTCCCCTGAATGTAGCTAGTGAAGAATAACGTAACTTCTGCAGGTTAGCTGTTAGCTAACGCAGCGTAGCGTTATCTTTGAAGAAGCAGAGTGCACGACCGAGTGACAGCAGGTGCTTGGCGGTAGTTTGCAGAAGAGGTGGCGGTCGGGCAGGATGTGGGTTTTGTGCAGCGAGTGACGGGCCTTGTTGTTCCTTTGGCGCGTAAGTTACCTTATTATTAATAATGTGGTACTGTTGCAGATATTCGAATACTCGCTACATTAGTTGATTGAAGGATCATTTATCAGTGTACAGCCTACTGTCATCTCAGGGTCACGCCTGACCTGCATATTCTGTAAGCTGTAAATTATTGTCTTTAAGCACAACACGCCTTCAGCCCAGCGATGCATATAGGCTAATTAAACGTAGCAATGGCATAATGTTTGTGGTCACCGTGTGATTCTCTGCCTGCGGGAGGCGTTGCGTCACGGCGCCCCAGTTTGATTCACGCCACCGCGCGACGGCGGCCGACATCAAACCTCGTTAGTCAGTTGAGGGGTCGCAGCTCGTCGTGGCACGCGTTGTGAAGGTGTCATAAGTAACGTTTCCAAGTGTGTCTCCTCCACAGAGATGGTGGTGTCTATGAAGAACGTGGCGGGCATGGACGTGGAGCTCACAGTGGAGGAGAGGAACCTACTATCAGTGGCCTACAAGAATGTGATCGGAGCCCGGAGAGCCTCCTGGAGGATAATCAGCAGCATCGAGCAGAGGGAGGAGAGCAAGGGCGCTGAGGAGAAACTGAAGATGATCCGGGAGTACAGCCAAACGGTAAAGGGCTCAGCCAAGGCCCCCCCCCCCCCGACACAAGCGTAGTGTTTGTATACAGACCGCTACGAGCACTTTAGTGGATTCCCCATCGTCCCAAATACGTATTTCATATTTCACAACTTCTCACATTTGCCGTGCTGAGCGATGAGATCACCGGCTCATATCAACAATACACACTACGAGCGGCTACTGGACGGACTGCGCTGAGTCATTGTTGGCAGAGTCCTCCACTCAGCCTCGCTTTTATGAAGGGAAAATAGGAGCTGGCTGTTCATCGGGGAGGAGCCCGAGTGTGTCAGAGGCCTGGGAGAGGCTGTTGAGCTGCAGTCGATGACCTAATGGGATTGAGAGCCGGGCGATCCCTGCTCCTGCACCTTCATTTCTCCTTTTGTTCTCCAGCTCCCTCGGGGTTTGTGTGTGTGAGTGTGTGTGTTGTGATTTGAACAAACGTGGGAATATTCACCCTAAATCTTCTAGGCTGCATTTAATGTTAAATTACGACGAGTGTTAAAGCCCCAGGAGGCGGGCAGGCCTGGGCAAGACCTGCTGGAGGTCACGTCCTGAGCTGCCTTCACCCAGGCTGTAAGCAGCCAACCTACAGTGTCCATATATATATATATATATATATATATATATATATATATATATATATATATAGAGCAGCCACTGGATAGGGTTTTTTTTTTTTTTTGGCATCAAGCAGCAACAAACTGAGCTGCTGTTGCTGTAACGTTACCTCATGCAGCACATAAAGAAAACAATGACAGCGGCTTCGATTTGAATTGTTGTCTTAGTTTTGTTTGTTTTTGGTAGGTTGAGAAGGAGCTGAAGACGATCTGTGGTGACATTCTGGATGCACTGGACAGACACCTACTCCCCTCTGCTGTCATGGGAGAGTCTAAGGTCTTCTACAACAAAATGTAAGTCTGGTCTGAACAGAAATGCTTTTCTTTATGGTCTGTTTGACCGTTTGTCTGTTTGAATTTACTAAATGAACATCACGTTGTGTTGAAGAAGACTTGAAAATAGAGACTGAGACCATAAACTCATGTTTACACTGTTTACTGAGGGAATAAATCAAGAGAGAAGTAGAGTCATTTCCTCATAGACGTCTATGGGAGCAGAGGAGTCGCCCCCTGCTGGTCACTACAGAGAAGTAGAGTCATTTCCTCATAGACGTCTATGGGAGCAGAGGAGTCGCCCCCTGCTGGTCACTACAGAGAAGTAGAGTCATTTCCTCATAGACGTCTATGGGAGCAGAGGAGTCGCCCCCTGCTGGTCACTACAGAGAAGTAGAGTCATTTCCTCATAGACGTCTATGGGAGCAGAGGAGTCGCCCCCTGCTGGTCACTACAGAGAAAATGCAGCTTTGACACATGAAGCTTTGTCTCCACTCGTTTGAACCGAAGGTTTTCTCCTGGTATAAAGTGAACCAACACTTGACCAGAAAAACCATCAACACCATCAACTTGTAATTCAATTGTTCCCAACGTGTTTTTACAATAGTTGTTTAATTTCCTCCCCTTCCAGGAAGGGTGACTACCACAGGTACCTGGCAGAGTTTGCCACTGGCAACCACAGAAAGGAGGCAGCGGAGAACAGCCTGGTGGCCTACAAAACTGCCACCGACCTCGCCATGTCGGAGCTCCCGCCCACGCACCCCATCCGCCTCGGCCTCGCCCTCAACTTCTCCGTCTTCTACTACGAGATCTTAAACTCCCCCGACCGCGCCTGCAGGTCGCTGCCTCTGCTGAACACTTCAGAAGTCTTCTGTTCTTAGGCTCTTTATTGTTATTACATTTCTGTTTTTATAATCTTCCTCTATGTTTTGTTCTGGAGTCAGTATTCCAGTGTTTCCCTCCATTCAATTTAAAACGTCTCCACCTCGGGCGGTTTGCACCGTGGTCGTGATTGAGCAGCGGTTTCCACCATGTGGTTCATAGATTGGTGGAAAGACCCCCGACTGTGTCGCTTTAACATCGCTGTAAAGTGAGTTATTGTGATCTTCTCTCATAATGTTCACATTTCCTAATTAGGTAATTTACGATTTTTGAAGAAACAGGCCATGGGGCTTTAATAGTTATCAGAAAACCTAGTGTTTTCAAGATTGACAAAAAGCCTCCCTCCACGGCCACATGCGCGAACCGCAACGCGTTACAGGACGTCGGTCCAAGGCCTCCACCCTCTTCACCCTGTTTTTATGTGCCCACCTGACCGTTGGGGGTTTCAGGCTGCAGGGAGAAGGTGAGAGACTGTCACCGCGGCATCCCTCCTCACCCCCCCCCCCCCCCTTTCACAACACGGCCAGCGAAACTCCTCTCCGCCTAAAACATTCTAACACTGGCCTCTAGCGCGATGAACCAACCTGGTCTACTTTGCTTCCGTTTCACGCTGATCCTAGTTCAGTGTCAGTAAACCACCAGAGACACAATCTACATCAAATGTAGCTGCTGTAACCGCGGCGATATTCAAAGCAGAGCTTTTATTTTCATCTCCGCTGCAACGTTTCGCCCGTGCATCTTGAACGGTCGTGGCGACAAAACTGCATCTCTGTCGTGGCTAAATACCAAACCTGAACTGCCGGTTTCATCAAAGGATTCTTTCCTGGGTGTTTTGAAGTGAAATGAATTACTTTTACAACCCATCATCTGGTCTGTGACGGTCCGAGACGCCCACAGGTAAGCCGGGATTTAAAAAGCCACAGTTGGCATCGGCTTAAGCCTCCAGGACCTGGATCACGCGGCTCCCAGTCTGCATGCCCAAATAAGGACTTCCAGGAGTCCTGCCTCCCCGAGGGTGAAAGTCCCGCTCTGAGAAACACTCGGTCCTGATTTTGAGTTTTCATGTTAATTCTTCTGTAAATTCTTACAACTCTGTTTGCCAGCCGAACACGAAAAACTGCAAAGCTTCTGGAAACACCGACTAATGCATCCTCTGCTTCATGGCCTGTTAGAGGCCTGTCAATCAGCGTGTAGCCCCGCCCTAAAGCAAATGGACCATCATTTACTAAATGGACATCATGCTGTGTTGAAGAAAAGACATCAACTCTATCTGACTCGCGCTTTAATAACTCTCCTTCGGTCGGGTTCTGAGTCCCGTTAACAGAGCGTGACTCTTCACGGAGGTTTAGATGGCGTGTTGCGCACACGACGACGCTCCGAGGGTTAATAGAATATTTTAGAAGCTGTTGATCTGGGTCTGAACCCAATGGTTGGGGGCAGAATTAGATTCCAGTGGTCTCAGTGAAGGATCCAAACATTTAACTCCCAATCACTCAATGTTGTCGTCCAAAAGCAAAGCATTCATTAAGAAAGCTGATCGCAATCCAATTACTCACTTTCATTTTGTTATTTATTCTTGTATAAACATTTCTGGTGTTTTTAGCCTTTCAAACCGGTGTTGCTGCCTTTTAGGGAACTTGCAAATGGAAGCTTGTAAATGAATGACCTTTGACCCTTGAGGGTGGTTGAACGGCTGAAGGCCGAGGTGGCCTCGTCAGTCTGTTGCTCTGGGCGGTTTGTGATTATTATTTAATTTTATATTCATAAGCGTGTGAGATACTTCATTTAATGACGCTGTGAAACAACGATGTCCTGTAACATTTCACAACAAAAGCTGTAACAGAAAAATGCTAGAATGCCCCTTTGTTTTGAAATGAGAACAGGAAGCGCCCAGATATCATTGAAACATCTGATACTCTGTTGATGTGCGAGCTCCTTTCTGACCGCGGATCACTTTGTGTTATTTAATATTAATGGAAACCTTTTTGTTGTTGTTTTGTGTAGCAGGTGAAGAACCAAACAAAGAGGCGCTGCAGGACGTGGAGGACGAGGCCCAGTGAGACTCCGCCTCCAACAGCAAACAACTTGAGACCCCGACCCCCCCCCCTCATACTCCTCCCACCCCCACTCTTCCTCACCATCCTTCTCTTCCTCCGCTCCCCCTTTTTCCTTTCTCCCACCTCTCCAGCTCCAAGAACCCAGCAGGGCCGAGGAGACAACAAGTTTATTTCTCTTCTTTTTTATTTTTATATTAGCCCTTACATCATTCAAGTAAATAGCACTTAATTGAGACAGGAAATACAATGTTAGAAAAGTCAAAGATAAAGCGACACCCTGGGTTGTTTTTGTGTTTTTTGTCCTGGTACAAGCGGTTCTGAACTGTTATCGTTGTGTTCATTGTTGTATTTTTGTTTGGGTTTTTTTGTTGCTTTTTCCTCGATATTTTTATCAGTTGCTGGATGTATTGAGAATTTTTTCTTAATGTAATTACAGAAATTGACTTTTATTACTGATAAGGTTGACTTTTAGTTACGGGAGCTATTTTATCTGTTTTTTAGTGAAATGTAATGCAAATCATCATTTGTTTTTTTTGGGAGTGCGGGGGGGCAATTTGGAAAACTACAAGTGCCCTTTTTGTTAACGTAGGTTTTTCAGAGGAAGTTGGCGATATCCAGGCGGGGCAAAGACGTGCTTGACTTTTCCACCCTAGTGATTCTGTTGTCATGTTTTCGTGGTTGTCCTTGGACTGTACTTTGTGCTGAAATACTGTAACTGTGCACACATGCTGAACCTCTGGAGTCGACTTATCGCTAGCTGGTGGTTCTAATTAAATTAATTTCTTTTAAAAAGTGTCTCTATTCGGCCCGGTACCCTCGACGGAGAAGCCTAAAATGTAAAAGGATCGTCCGCGCTTGCATGAGTTGACACATTTTTCTTTTCTGCTGCTTCTCCCCATCTTTTCTTTTTCTCTTTTCCGAAGCTCCTGAAGGGGTTTACTTTGTTTTGCCGGTTTCCTGTTTCTCCTCTTTGTTTTTTGCTTCATTATGTGTAACTTGGAGCTGATTTGTACTACTGGATATCTGACTGGAGCCACAGACAGGGAATCTGTATTGTTCTTACTGAAACACAGCATGGAATTAACATTAAACAAATCTAAATTAAACGTTACTTAACGCGTTGCAGTTATTTGGTTTGTCAAAAGCGTCTGTCGCCCCCTGTGGACCACAGTGGTAGTGCGTCTACCACCAGGGTCCCTTTGGAAAACCCCTCTTCTGCAGGCTCTCACTGCCTGACTCTCGGTTCTGGTTCTCCAGGGCTTCCCCTCCCTCCAGCGGGTCCAGCACTGACTCTCTGCTGTATGTGAACTAATAGAATCCGTAGAACCCTCTTAGGGATCCATATTGGTTCTGGTCGCCGTGCCGTCTGCTGCTGCAGACCTTTTAACATTCGCACTAAAACCGCCACACGTTCCTTCAAGAAACGTCTACCGACGAACCAAAACCTGCAGGACGTTTGCTGCTGGGAAACCCAAGTTACCCGAGCGCAATCATACATTTATACGTCCTATTTATAGTGTTTGAGAGCGATGCAATGTTAATGCCTCGTGGCTGCGAGCAGCTGGTGAGGTTGAACATGAGCATTTCTGTCATGACAACAATGTGTCGACTCATTGGTTCAACGTACATTCAGCGACTTCATTCACTAATTTCATTTTTTGCACTCTACCCATTTTTTCCCCCCCTGGTTTCGGGCTCGCGGCCCCCTGATGACCCCTAAATTCAGCCTTGGGTGAAAGGGGAGGAGCCTGAGGGAAGGTGAGCAGCGTGCAGCCGCCAAAATGACTTCCTTTGTTGCAGATTCACGCTCCCCAGAAGATGAGCACTTTCTATTTCTCCATTTGTGAAGCGATTCTTGGTCCCCACAGTTGTGCAACCTCCAGAACACGACGTTGGCTTTATCTATTTTTGACTAGAGTGGCGATTGCACAAAGTTGCAGCTAATTTGGTACGAACATTTATAGTCCCCAGAGGAAGTATCCCAACAACTGGTGCCAACTTTCCTCTTGAATGTCTCAACGACTACATCAATTCATAGTCCCCAGAATGATCACCCTATTTTTCTGTAGTGATACTCGAGGTCCCCAGAACTTCACAATGCTTAGCGAGACTTTTCCTCCAGTGCCCAGAGCAGCTACCCACTGATTCAACATCTACAGTTATTTATTTTATTTGAATCCACGGTGGAATATCTGATATTATAATGCCTGGGTTTCATTCTCATTTGGCAAAGAGGTTCATGGTCCCCATTGTACCTTTAGGATCCCCAGACCTTTTCCATCTCTCTGCTTTGAAATCCTGAGATGATGGAACATCTTTCTGCTGCTTAATATACATGCATGTGTACTTGTGTGGGTGAGACTTTGTGGTTGCAGCGCCCTCTGCTGGTCACACCCAAACACCTCAGAGGAGAAGGTCCACCTGGAGATCGATCCTCAGCATTTAAAGCCCATAACCAGAGGAATGTGGAGATAACGATAATTACTTCCTGTTGAAAATGTTCCCATTAAGTGAACAAAGAACCATCCGGTCTGCAGCTCCATCACCTCCACGTTCCTCTGGCCTGGTCAGATGGTCGTCCACATCTACTGGTCTAATACCAGAGGGGTTTTTGTCTCAATCGATGAAAACATGAAAACTAAAAGCGTCACACTTCGTCCCAATGATGCTCTGGGGAGGTTGTTGACGACCAGGTTGCCATGGAAACTCCCGCTGTCTCATCCACCCGAGCAGCTCTAAAGCGAGGCCCCCAGAGGGGGGTGCGTTCTGCTCCTCCTTGCCGGCGTCCTGCAGCTTCCTGTGGAAACTGGAGGCGGCGGCGGTGGCGGCGGCGGCGGCGGCGGCGTTCGGCTCCCAGAGAGCGATACGTCAAACAATTAATGAAACACATCATGAACTTCCTCCTCTGCAGCAGAGACCGCAGATATATTTAACCCGGGGAGTATTTAAGGAAACACTCGTGTGATCTGGTCTGAGTCCCGAGCCTCCATGTGGGATCTGGTTGCAGGATTACACACACACACACACACACACACAACCAAATCCACAAAACACTGACCATTTAAATATGTGTTTCAGATCATGACGAGAAGAGGGTCGTTTTCCCACAATGCACCTCTCTGCCTTTCCGGATTGTCTG